ACCAACCAGACAATCGTCACGGCGCTTCGGGCATACGCGACGAGCAACCCGACGGCGTGGCCAGAGAAGCTGACGGCTATCCAGATCGCGTACAACGACTCGCGGCACCCGACCACCGGGTTCACTCCTTTCTACCTCAACCTGGGCCGCGAGATCGCTACGCCGTTGGCCATTTTGGCCAGCCGCATCGCAGGGCCGGCGGCTTCCAGCCCGCCAGACCGCTCGGCGCCGGACTTCCTCGACCACATGCGCGACGCCTGGGCCACGGCACTCACCGAGATCGAACGTGCCCAAGAACAACAACGCGCCAGTGCCGACAGGCGCACGGGTGCCCGGCGGCAGGACAAGCCACCGTTCGCGAAAGGCGACCACGTCATGCTGTCGACAGCCAACCTCACGCTCAAGGGCAAGGCCGGGAAGCTTCGCGAGAAGTGGATCGGACCCTTCACAGTCACGGACACCAACGCACCCGGTACTCGGTACTTCCTCAACATCGATACGAATGCCCTGGGCATCCAGAACGGCTTCAACGCCAGTCGGCTCAAGCTCTGGCACCCCGATGTGTTCGGCCGCGAGCCAGTCTACCCGAGCTGCCTGCAACCGTACAGCAATGATGAGGAGGTCGAGGTCGACCGCGTGTGGGCTTTCCGGGTGGTACGACACCGCCAAGAGCTGCTCCTCAGCTGGTCGGGCTACCACTCCGGGTTCAACAAGTGGACGTCGCTCAGCCGGTGCGTGGAGCTCGAGCACTTGACACAGCAGTGCCTGGACGAGATGGCGCCGACGGTCGAGCCGACAACACCACTGCCGACCGCGAAGGACGTCCTCACCGGCCGGGCGCTGATCCATGCACCCACTGGCGTCCCAGAGTTCACGATACTGACAGCCTCGGGCAACAAAATGGGGTATACGCCAGTGCAATCGCGTCGCAAGAGGCGGCGCTAACGCAACTCCATCTACACCTTGGCTCGGCCACGAGGGCGCAGGCCTCCCAAGTGGGGCCGTGTCAGGAGATTGCCCTGTCAGGGGGGACTCCAGATCCTGGAGATCTGCCACCGCGCAGGCCTAGGGGCCGCGCGGCGGCCATGCCGAGCAGTCTCATCACACTAAGGTGTAATACGACACACACACTCGAGTGTCCTGCTGCCAGACTCACGTCAGCAGCAGGTGAGCAGGCTTCCTTGGCCTCGCTCGGCCACTTGGTGGCCTCACTTGGCTTGATAAGGGACTGCCTGGGTAGGGCAGTTCTCTTACACCCCACGCCCGGTCCCACACCCGCAGGAAGCTCGTGCCCAGGCGGACCTGCGAGAAGGTCAGCGCGCGCTGCGGGAGCGCGCCGAGGTCGCGCAGGTGCGGGGCGCAGCGCAGGTACGGCGGCAGGTGCTGCCGTACGTCGCGGGGGTTGTCGTGGAGGAACCAAGTGTTGCGCGGCACGTGCAGGCAGTGCGTGTAGTAGGCCGCCGCCCTGCGGCTGCCCGTCGGGTGCGCCTGTCGCGGGTGCGCCCCCGCCGCCGGGGAGAGCTGGATCTTGTCGATGGCGAGGCGGACGTGGGCGGGTACCAGCTTCTGCGGCGCCGGCTGCGCCGTCGGGCTGAACGCGGGGCAGCCGAGTTGCTGGGTCACCGCGCGCACGCGGGCCACCCAGCAGTCGTGCGTGGCGGCCGCCAGGTCCAGGTTGTCGCGGAAGGCTGCAAGGAGGAGGGCTGGGGGGTTCGGGCGCGTCTCGAGAGCGACAAGGGTGTTCCAGAGCCTGGCTGTGCGTTCCCAGGCTACAGCCAGCGCCGACGACAGGCCGCACTCAACGAGGATGGTGCGCTGGGGCGTGTGCTCGTGCAGGCGCAGGACGTAGCGGAGGTGTTGAGCGAGCTGGCCGTCGGGGCCGGGGTGGTCGCCCGCCGCCTGGTCGAACTTGAGCTTGCTGTTGCGCATCGCGGTCTCGTAGTGCGCCCAGTCGAAGTCGCGGAAGTGCACCGCCCAGAGCTCGCCCGCCCAGGTGGCCGCTGGGATCACGAATATGTTGGTGAGGTGCACGGCTGTGATGCCCGGTTGCACGATGCCCTCGCGCGCTGCCTTGAGGCGGATGAGGGCGCCGGCGACCCGGGCGGCGTCACCGGCGCGCACCGCCTGCAGCAGTGTGCCGTGCTTGGTGTGGAACCACGTCCCAAGGATCTTCGCTTCCTGCGCAACCTCGATCGGGATGGGGTTCTGCGTGTAGTCGTACGCGTACACCGTGCCGGTCGGCGCGCCGTGGCCGAGGGGGACGAGGCGGCTCTTCGCGGCGTTGAGGCGCAGGCCGACTTCGTCGAGCCACTGGCACGCCGCCGTGAGCAGCTGCTGCAACTCGGGGATGGAGCGACCGAAGAGGTTGCTGTCGTCGGCGAACAGGATGAGCGGGACGTGCACGCCGTCGAGGGTGGGCCCCATGCCCGGGCAGAGGCGGGCGAGGTACTCCGCGAGGCCGTCCTGGAAGATGCCGTACAGGACTGGGCTGAGGGGGCACCCCTGCTTGACGCCGATCGTCTGGTCGATGTCGTGCTCGGCGCCCTCGAGGGCGATGTAGCCGACGCAGTCCGCGTAGTAGGCGCGGAGCTTGTCCACGAACGCCGCGGGCAGGAGGAGGTCCTGTTGCAGTCGGCGCCACAGCTTGTCGTGACCGACCGAGTCGAACGCCTTGGCGATGTCGAGGGTGAGTACAAAGAGCCGTTGGCGGTGGTGCTGCGCGCGTTCGACTAGGGACTGGAGCACGAAGTCGGCGTGGGTGGTGCTGCGGTGGGGGCGGAAGCCGAACTGCGCCTCTGCACGCAGGCGTGCCTCCTCCGCGAAGCTCTGGAGCCGGCGCCCGAGCATCGACGCGTAGAGTTTCGCGAGGCTGGGCAGCGTCGCGATGAACCTGTAGTTCGCTGGGCTGCTGCGGTCGCCCTTCTTATGGATGGCGGTCAGGCGTGATCTGGCCAGCGTCGCGGGGAGATTGGGCTCCCGCCAGAGGCGCTGCATGAGGGCAGTCAGGAACGGGAGGAAGGGGTTGGAGGCGGGGTCGTCCGGGTCGCCCGCGTACTTGAGGAACTCCACCGTGACATTGCCCGGGCCCGCCGCCCGGCAGTTCTGCAGGTGCATGAGCGCGCGGTGGACTTCGGCCGCGGTGAACGGCCGCGTGAGCTGCTCCGTGTCGGCTGCCGGCGGGCCCTCGACGGGCTGCAGCGGCTGCACGGGCGCAGAGTCGGCCTGCAGCAGCGTGACGAGGTGTGTGACCGTGTCCTGCATCGGCAAGTCCGGTGCCGCCTGGCGGCGGGTGCGCAGGCGCCGCTGGAACTCGCGGCCGTACTCGTCCGTCATGGAGCGGACGTGGCGCTCCTGCCGCTCGTGCTGGTCCTTGCGTGCGTCGCGGCGGTCGAGCTCCGCGAAGGCCTGCCGCGCCGCGTCGATCTCGAGCTGCGTGGCACCGATGTTGCAGAGCCGCCGGATCTCCTCGCGGGCGGCCTTCGTGTCTTCCGCGCGCTTCCAGGTGCAAGGTGGCTCGTCGCTGCTGGGTGGGGGGTGCGCATGTGCTGTGGGGGCCCAGGGGCGGGTGAGATCGGCAAAGAGCTCGTGGAAGTCGGCGACCACGGCGTCCAGGTCTGCGTCATGTGTAACCCGCTGCGTGAGGGCGGCCAGGGCGGCTGTCGTGGCGGGGGATTGGGCCAACTCCCTGAACGTGTTCATCCTGTTCCAGCGCCAGCGCGGGGGTCGGGCTCCGGGGGCCGGCGGCGCTGCCTGCAGGCCGGCGGCTGGGTCGAGCACTAGCAGGAGCGGGTTGTGGCCCAGCGCGCCCATGCCGCCCGTTCCCCGCCAGGTGTCGACGACGCGCTGGCCCGTCTCGCTGAGGACGACCAAGCGCTGCAGCTTGGCGCGGGCTTGTTCGTCGGCCAGGGCGTAGTCAACGACCGTGCGCGCCGTGCCCCCGCTCGCCGTGGCTTGCTGGTTCGTGTGGCGGGCAGATTCCGGTCCCAGGCGTCCGTTCTGTATCTGCAGGCGGTGTTCGAGGAGGAGGGTGGCGAGGGTCCGGGCCCGGTGCGGTGGCGCCGTGTCCTCCGAGCTCCGCGGCGCCTCGTGCGCCGGAACCGGGAACGCCGCGCCGCCGTCGTACGGGTCGTGGAGCAGCGGCGGCGCCTGCGTGCTGAGTTGGAGCTCGTTCAGGTTGGAGGTGCGCGCGTTGAGGTCGCCGACGACCAGGAGGGCGTCCGTGTCTGGCACCGAGGCGAGGAGGCCGAGCAGCGTTGCCGCGAAGTCCAGTTCGGCCTCACCGTCGAGGGGGGATGGTAAATGTTAGCAATGGTGAGCGGTGCGCGGCGCATGCACACGTCCTGATCTGGGGGCGATCAGAATGTCCCCGCTCGCGTGCTGATCACGCTGCCCGTCCGCCACGCCGCGCTTGGGCCCCAGGAGCAGCAAGCCTGTACCGATGCGTGAGAGACCGCAGGTGGCTGGACGCAGCGCGCTGAAGTGCAATGCGGTCAGGCCGGGTCATGCACGGCAACTTGCGTTCTGCCGACGTCCCCTTCAAGCGGCGATTACATACGTCCGTCATCGTTACGAGATCTTGGTGAGAACTTGTCGCGCGGGTTGCGATGGAAACAAAAAAAAACAGATGCATGGGCGAATCGTAACGATCTAGAATTCACGAGCGATGTTTCCCGCCCACGGACCCCTTGCAACAGCGGCGCCGGTCCGAACGGAGCGCGATGGGGGCATGAGACTCCGACAGCTGAGTTGAACAGCAGCAAGTGCCCACGCAGCATTTCGGGCACGAAGAGGGGTGGCCGGACGATCGAAGCGCACTCATCATGCCTCCTCGAACGGCTGCCCGTGAAGCGCGCGCCGAAGTTCGACCGAGTCCAGGACGCCCCGTGCCCGCGAGGCAGCGCGGCGCTCTGCCACGCAAGGCGACGTTGGGCGGCAGCAGCGGGATTGATTGCCTCGTCCACGAAGGCACGGCAGCGGGACCGCTACGCGCTTGGCCGGGCTCAGGACGGCACGCTGCCCGGTGCGAAGCCGACCGCAGCGCTCGCGCCCCCTGCCTGCGGGCCTGCGTGGTCGGGTCCGGCGACCACCTCCGCCCCCGGCACCATCGTGTGCTGGTGCGCGACGCGGACTCCGCTCTTCGTGAGGCTCTCCATGCACGTCTTGAACATCGTGTTCCGGATCAGCCCCGTCCATCCCAGGTCCACTCTGCGACAACCAACACACCGCGACGTCGCAGGCGGCCCGGCGCGCACACGCCGCACTTCGTGGCGGCCTGAAGAGCGCACACAGCGTCCGGGGCGGCGCAGACTCACCCGTTGGAGGCCATCTCGAACCACACCGAGACCAGGATCTTGAACCCCTTGCCGGTGCCGCCCGGGACGTACATGCGCGTCCGGTTGCCGCCCGGGAAGTACTCGGGCTTGGCCTTGACGACGGCCTGCACGTCGCGGTCCAGCTGGTCGACCACCTCGGCCGCGGTCGACACGTCGATGTACACGTGGAAGGCGTCCCACTTGTTGCCCGAGCGGCTCAGGTTGGCCATCTGCGCGGGGCGGAACGCAGGCGCGGGAGCAGCAGGTCGGCGACACAGCACGGGTGAGCGTCAGCGAAGCTGCGGAGACGGCGAAACGGGGCCCTGTGCGGTGCTGCAGGCGCAGGCAGCGCACCTGCAGGTTGTTGAGCACGTGGTTCGGGAAGGTGGAGATCGCGCACAGCTCGTGCTCCACCGTGGTGCGCAGCAGGGAGATCTCCTTCACGATGTACCACTCGCCCTGCGCGGGGGAACACGCGGGAAAGCTTGGGGGGGATGGGTTGGTGTGTCAGCGGGGGCGTCGGAGACAGACGCGCGCCGAGCGGTGGGCGGTCGGCGGTATCGGTGGCGCAGGGCCCCCGCGGACCCGTCGTGGCGCGGCGTGCGTGCGGCGCTCACCTCGATGATGATGACGTCGCCCACGTCGAACGGGTGCGTGGCGAACAGCAGCAGCGCGCTCTCGAAGATGTTCTTGAGCGTGTTCCTGCGCGAAGACGAGCAGCGCAGATCCTCGTCGGCGAGGGCGGGCGAGATCAGGGAGCCGCATGCGACAGGCCCGCAGCCAAGTGTCTAGCGCAAGCGCAGCGCTAGCGCGTGCTCACCCGAAGACGAAACCGAAGGCCAGGAAGACCGCGCTGAGACTGATCCACAGGTTTTCGACATCTGCAGCTCACGGACGGGCACGCGCGCGCGCGCGTTTGCGCGCCGTCCCGGCGCAGCGCGGGTCACATGCATGCAGCCAGCAGGCACCGCGCGGGCTCGTGCGGGGGCGCTCACCGATGCGGAAGACCGCGAGACAGATGGGCACGAGGATCACGTTGATGACGATTTGGATGAGCGACCCCATCTTGCCCACGATGGTGTTGGAGTCCTGCATGGTCTTCGCGAGGTGCCCGCGCTCCTGGATGATGTCCTTGACCACGCCCAGGACGTCGTGCCGCGTCACGCGCCCGTCCTTGGTCTTGGAGTCCAGGAGCTCGAAGCAGCCACGGACCTGGTCCGCGGGGAGGAAGAACTGCAGGTCGGACGGCACAATCTCCTTGCGCGTGCGGTCCGCGCGCACGTTCGTCCACAGCCAGCGCCCGAGCTTCCGCGACATGCGGTCGAGCGCCTTCTGGTCCTGCGCCTTGCGCGTCTGCTTCATCGCGTGGCTGAACGTCACCCCGAAGTGGTTGCGCCGGATGTAGCGCTCCAGCTTGCTGACCTGCGCCTCCGTCACCTGCTCCGAGTCCAGGTCCTTGAAGTCCTCAAAGTGCCGCTCGACGTCCGACCGCCGCCTGCGCATGGCCGAGCACCGAGCGCCCGCGCTCTCGCGACGTCGCCGCGCCCAACAACAAGCAGCGGTGCGGCGCGGCGCCGCGCGGGAGCAGCGGTGCCTCGCGCGCCTCGCGCGGGCGTCGGTGACGCACCTGAGAATGTCCTTCATGTCGAGCGCGCTCCCCGTCCCCGTGTTCTCGTCCTCGTCGGCCCAGGGCTGCCGCGTGGTGTGGCGCGACTGCTGCTCCAGCTCCGCCTCGACATCCCGCCAGCCGTACTCCTGCTCGCTCTGCTCCGTCAGACTCGGCGACACGGCGCGCGGCGGCATCTTCGAGGTCTCCGTGTTCGACAGCTGCGACGGCCCGACCGACGGGGGCGGCGTTGACGACATCGCCGACGAAGAAGTCACCCCGGGCTGCGACCGCCGCTGCAGCCGCCTCAGGCCCCTGATCGACCCCGCGCCGAGCTGCTCCGCCGGCCCCTTCCCGCGGTTCGTGGCGCCCTCGGCCAGCTCGTCGTGCTCCGGAAGCGTCTTCATCTTGCCCGCCTTGCTGGGCACGCCGCCCTCGCCGAGGCGCCCGCCCTCGGAGAACGACGCGGACACCACGCTCTTCGGGAGCACGGGCCGGAAGTCCTCGGCGTCCGCGGACCCGAACCTCCGGTGCCCCCTGGCGCCGAGCGCGTGGCTGCTCTTGCGGGAGTGGGCCTTGGGCTTCGGGCGGGGGACCGTCAGCGCCTGCGCGGCGGGCCGAGCACGGCGCGGGGCGTGAGCGGGGGCTGCGCGGGGGCGCGGGCCGTCGCGCGCGCGAGGCGCTGTCGCTGCGCGGCGGGCGTGGGTGCCGTGGGAGGCGCACCGCGAGGTAGTACTCCTTCTCGAGGGACTGCTTGAGGCGGTCGAAGAAGTTGCGCAGGTTGAACCGCGACGCGAAGATCTTGGTGAGCGTCCCGGCGAGCACGCGTCCGACGCAGTAGAGCACCGCGCAGATGAGCCCGCGCAGCACGTAGTCGCCCGTGTCGCTGAAGATGAACCCGCCGTCCGCCGTCACCAGGACCGCCCACAGCGCCAAGTAGAACGCGAACTGCGCGGCACGCGGCGGGCGTCGGAGCGCACGTGTGCGCGTGCGCGGCGCGGCGTCCCGGCGGTTGGGAGCCGCAGCTGAGCGGTGGGCGCGCGGGGCCAGCGGGGCCCTCGGCGCGTCGGTCGGCGCGCTGAGCCGGCGCGCCGGTGCGAGCAGGGCAAGCTGGACCGCGCGCGGCGTCCGGATGCGCACCTGGAGGAGCGTGGTCAGCGCGGGCTTGAGCGGCGACAGGAAGTAGACCAGGCGGTTGCTGAGGAAGAAGGCGTGCTCGACCGTGCGCACGATGGTGACGACGATGAAGTTCGCCAGGATCCGCAGCGGATACAGCGCCCCGATGAAGACGCACCAGCGCCACACGGCCAGGTCCAGCGCCACGTCGTCGCTGCGCTCGAGGCGCAGCACGATGCCGGCGCCGACCGCCGCGAGCCCGAGCGTCGCGATCGTGATGCGGATGATGAGCGTGAAGCGGTGCTTGCTCTCGTCCGGGTCGTCCTCGTCCGCCTCGCTGTCGAGGTCGCCCGCGCTGTCCATCGACTTCCCCGCCGCTGGCACCGCGGGGTCCGACGGCTTCGTGAGCAGCTCCTTGCCCGTCTCGACCTTGACCTCCGCGTGGGTGGCGCCCAGGACCTCCAGGTCGCCGTGCGAGGCCGTCTTGCGCGACAGGGGGTGCGCCCGGGCTGCTGCGCCCGCACCGTCGCCGCTCCCGTTCGCGCGGATGTCCGCGAAGGACACATTCCGACCGGGTCTGACGGCCTTCAGCTCGACCTTGTCCTCAACGGGTGCCTGCGGCGTGCGGAGGGGCCCGGATGCGCCGGCGAACGGGGCGGTCAGAGCGGCGCCTCGTAGTGGCTCCGAGCGCGGCCCATCAGCGCGTGGGCAGGGGTCGAGACGCCTGCGCGGAGCCCAACCCTGGCAGATAGGGGAGCAGCGCACGCCGGGAGACCGCGGCGGGCCCGCACCACTGCAGTTCCGGCCGTGCCAGGTTTCAGTGGCGCCCCGCCGTCGCCGTTGCCGCTCACGGGCTGATCGCGGTGAATCGCGCTGATGTTCGCGGGCGTCATGCCTCCCTGAGTTCACGCCGAGCGCACGCGCGGGACGAGCAGCGCGTCCTGCGCCCAGGGCAGCGGGACTCGCGTGGTCGCCGGCTGGTGGCCACTGAGCTACGACTGCGGCACCGGAGGCGCACGGGCAGAATGCCGGGCGGGGGTTGCGTGCGGCTCGAAGATCGCACACGCGAGACTGCAGCGGTCGCGCCCGCCGCCCAGTGTAACACCGCCGGCGCCGGTACCGCCCGTCCCCCGCCCGCGCCCCCCCGGGGCTCTCAGATCAGATCCTCCGAGTCGGAGGCTCCGACTCCACCAGGCGCCGCCGCGCCGGCGTGCCGCGCGCGGGCAGCGGGGAGCGGGCGCGGCCGCCTGCCCCGACGCGGCGGCTGACTGGGAGGGGCCGGGGCCGCGCGCCCGCTGGTCCGGCGGCTGCGCGGGGGTTGTGGGTGGCCGGGTGCAGCGGCGGCGCAGCGGGGTGCGCGAGCGGGCGGGGCGCGCAGCTGCGCTGCGCTGGCCGCGGTGGCGCGCGCGGCGACGCGCGGCACTGCGTCGCGCCGGCCGAGGACGCACGGCCCCTGCCCGTGGTCCGGCTGTCGCGGGGGGGACCGGCCGGCAGGGGGCTCGTGCAGGGGGCTCGATGGGCCAGCGACGCCACGCCGTCGCGGCCACAGTACGCAGTGATCCGCTCCGTCGTGCCGTTCGCGCGGCGCCGGCCTGAGAGCTGCGGTGGACGAGACGAAGCTGGTGACGGTGTTCACGGCACCGACGAGAGGCCTGCGCGCAGCACCAGCGCGGTCTCCAGCTCCTCGCGGTGGAGCTACGTTCCGTGTTCTGCGACGCGTGAGGCTCCAGCGTCGGTGAACCGGGCGGCGGAGCGCACGGCACTCGTGCGTGGCGTCGCATCTTGTGCGCCCGAGGGAGGGGGGGAGTCCGCGCCCGTGCCCTCGTCGGGGCGCTCCCGGCTGAGGGATGCTGCTTGGGAGGTAGCAGGCGGCGTGCGTTGAGTCTGGCGCGTGAGGTGAGTGCGCCCTCGTGCGATTCCCCGCTCCGTGGCATCTGTGCCGTCCCCGCGCGCCCGGAGGCGGAGGTCTTCTGGGCACCGGCAGGCCTGTGCGTATCGAGGATAGTATGACACGCGTGCATCGCGACGGCCCGACGGCACCCCGGGTCCGTGCGCGTCGGCCATGGGCTCGTCCTCACCAACATGCACGGTGCCTCCCTGGCCATGCGCGCCCGTCGGCGTGCCTCGGCGGCCGAGTAGCGCGCTCCGAGACGCGTACATGCGTGTTCGTTCGCCTGGTGCACCTGACCTGCAATCGTTCTGCTTTCTGGCGCGAGGTCGTCGCTGTAGAGCTCACATGGGCTGCAAGCAGCGCAGCGCGGGTGCGGTGCGCGCGAAGGGCGAGTTTCGCGCAGTCGCGGATCTCGATCTCGACGCAAGGGTCAGCTCGCGCTGGCGCACAACGTCGCACTGACCGCCAGCGGGCAGGCTCCGAGGTCGACCACTGCCGCGAACAGCTTTGGTCGACAACACCGGGTGTCCTCGTGCGCTGCGTGCGACCTCAACCGGCGCACACGCCCGCCCGCACTTCTCGCAGGCGTGCAGCGTCCGAGGGCGCGGGGGAGGGACACGTTCGGTCCACGATGGAGGAGCCATCCACGCGCGTGGCCCGCGCCACGCCAGCCCCGGTCCAGCTCCCGGTCCCAGCTGCGATCAGGGGCGCGGACAGTGCGGTGCGCCGGAAAGCGCTGAAGTGGTCGGAGGACACGAAGCCGGCTGCCGCGAAGCCCCCAAAGATGGGCCACATAGACAGGCCAGGTTCGCGGCTGCACAGACTGGCCAGCGCGCAGAGGCAGCAAGCGATGAAGCGATTCGGCAGCCTCAAAGCCGCCCGTAGCCTGGACAGGGCCCCGAGCATCTCGAGCTCGGTCGGCGCTGGTCCGCCGACGCTCCTTCGCGCCCCCTCACTTGCTCGGGATGTGCGCTCGCGGTTCGGAGCGCGTGCGCCTTCCACGGCCGCCGACGCCGCCGTCGGTCTGGACGAGGGCGGAACTGGGGGGTCACTTTCGCGAGCGGAGTCGCCGCCGGGGGCACTCGACACTATGCCGTCATGCGCACCTGCGTTCGGGCGTGAGGTCGCGAGGTTCCGACAAGCGCGGTCCACGATGTGGTGCGTCCCCGCGCACGGAACTCCGCGTCGCCTCGGGCGTCCGCGGCGCCCTGCCCAGGCACGCCGCGACGGCGTTTCCACTCGCTAGCTCCAACCTGTGCTGACGCCCCACAACGCTCGCAGGAACGCCTTCGAGGAAGCGAACTCCGTCGACGCCCTCGCAACCACTGCAAGCGATGTGTCCGCGAGGTGCGGCCCACCGCGCGTCCTCGACGCCCGCGCCCGCACGCCACCTCGTCCAGAGCACCGCCGCGACGCTGTCCCGCCCGGTTTCGTCCTCGCAGGGAAGCGCTCAGGCGCGACTTCGTCCAGCGCTCCACGCGCTTCAACGTTCCGGACAGCCCGGCGTCGTCCCAGAAGAGCGCGACGTCCTCCAAGCCCCCGATCCCAACCCACCTCAGCGTGACGAGCTCGATCGCCGACACCGACGCGTTCAAGGACGCGGTCGCAGCCCTGCGCCAGATCACCGAGCCTCTCACGAAGACGGCGAAGGAGCAGACCAAGGAGATGCAGGAGCTCCTGGCCGGCACCGCGCCGAAGAAGAGGCGGTCGACCGTCGCACCGGGCACGCTCGAGGGCGCGAAGGGCGTGCGGGACGTCGTGATCGAGGCGGTCCAGGCGCACAATTCGGGCACGAGCGTCGTCGCGTGGCAGAGGAGCCTGTGGAAGCAGGGCACGCGCGAGATCAAGGAGCGCCGCAAGTCAAGGGGCGCGCCGGGGGGCGAGGTGCGGCGCCGCGCGCCACGCAGCCGTGGCGGTGTGCCACGAACGATCTGTGTGCATGCTGCGCTGCCCGCGACCGTGCGCTCACAGCCCCCGCGGCCTTGTGCGCCGCTCCCTTGCAGCCGGCTCAAGGTCTGAGCGCAGTGTCGTCCGAGGCCGAGGAAGACTCCCGCCCGCTGGCCCACACGACGGTCACGTCGGTGAACGAGGCGCGGCGCATCGTCAACGCGCTGCCGTCGTCCTTCCCGCAGATGGTCTTCGCGGCCCCGGACATCTCGGTCGTGGAGGGCCACAACCGCCAGAAGCTGCGCTCCGTGCTCAGGACCAGGCCCGGGCGCCGGACGGAGGAGGAGAACTCCTTCCTGCTCACGACGCTGCAGTCCCTGGAAGTGACCCGGCTGGCGGAGGACGAGGACCTCGCGGAGATGGCCCGCTACCTGCGCTGGGTCGAGTACGAGGTGCGGCGCCGCACGGTACCAGTACTGCGCGGGCGCGGCGCGTGTGCGACGTGCGGCACGTGACGGCTGTCGCTTTGGCCCCTGGTCGCAGCCGGGCGAGGACGTGTACAAGGAGGACGACCCGGCCAAAGAGGCGTTTGTTGTCGTGACGGGGGTGGTGGCGAAGCTGCGGCGCTCCGGGCCGCGGGCGACGCGCTCGCTCGCCGTCCGCAACCGGCGGTCGGGGGCGCACAGCCGCCGCCCGAGCCACGGCGGCGGCGGGTCCCTCTCGCGCAAGCAGAGCTTGTCCCAGCAAGATCATGCCGCGGCCATGCCTGGCATGAACGACTGGGCCGTCACGACCGGCGCCAACGCGGAGGAGGCAGTCGGCGAGCCGGCCATCGCTGCGTGCGCCCCCGCCCCACACCCACGTTCACGCCCGCACGCCCCCATGCCCGGGACATACTGTGCGTCCGCGCTTGATTCGATTCGTCGCGGCTTTGCGCGCCCGCTGCGCAGGGGCACACAGATCAAGGACATCATCGAGGGCATGAAGACCTCGGAGGCGACGCGGCGCAACCTCGACGGCACGACGTACGTGACGGACTTCGGGGGCATCTTCCATGGGCTCGCGCAGGTGGGCGGCTGCATCCGTGCACGCACCGCGCCCCCGACCGGGCCGCGCGTCATCGCTGCGGCGCACCTCACGTGTCTGCTGCTGTTTGTTTGTGGTCGCAGCACATCTTCTCCGCTGCCCTGGGCCCGGGGTCGATATTGGGCGCCGAGGCCCTGGAGCAGGACATGGACATCGCCGCGGTCGAGGGGAGCGACGTCGACGCTGACCCGCCAGCACACGACGAGATGATGCGATGCGTCACGCGCTGCGAGATGCTCGTGCTGCGGCGGGACCACCACAAGCGCATCTTGCAGACCCACATCAACGCGGAGTTCAAGGAGCGCGCCTCGGTGCTGTCGGCCGTCGACGGCATCAGAGCGATGCCCGCGAAAGCGCTGTCGCAGGTGGTGGCGGCGTCGTCCAGCATGGCGCTGCAGACCTCGCAGGCTTTCTGCTCCCAGAACAGCGTCCCGGACAAGGTGTTCGTCGTCATCCGCGGGGAGGTCGAGGTCATGCGGGCCGTGCGCGTGGCGCCCATGACCAAGCAGAAGACCGTCGCGCGGCAAGCGAGTCTGCGGAAACGTGCGCGCCCACCGCGATGTCTCGTCTGCACCATTGGCGCCCGTGGTCAGGCGAAGTCACGCCCTGCGTTTCGCCCCGTCGTCCGCGCAGGTGCCAGCCAGGCGGGGCAGTCGGCGTTAGAGGCGCTCCCGAGGCTCGACGTCACCGAGGGCTGGGAGACGCGGCAGTGGAAGGTCAGGGATGGCATGTACAACCTCTCGAGGGACTTCGTTCCGCTGCTGGACGAGGCGCTGGCGCTCCAGGATGCGGTGCCCACGCTCCCCGCGGTGTCCTCCAAGTCCGTCGTGCCCCTCCTGAAGACCGGGACGACCGGCCTGCAGCACAACAAGAGGATCGCCGAGAAGGCGGACGAGATCGCGTCGCGGTCGCCGTCCCCGGTGAGCCCCGCGAAGTCCCCCGAGCAGACGGTGGCGGAGGGCAGCAACAGCGTGCTCGACCTCGTGAGGAGCGCCGCCTCGCTCGCCAAGGAGCCCGGCGTTGGGCGCACGCGCAAGGGCGCGAACCCGTCGATCACGGCCAGGGAGGCGGTGTACCTGGGGCCGGAGCTGGTGACCACGCTGCGAACGTTCTACAAGGGGCCCCAGATGCTCATCGAAGAGGGTCTCGCGCGGCAGAAGGCCCCGCAGGCGAAGAAGAAGAAGAAGAGGGCAGAGGATGCGCTCGAGGCCACAAGCAGCGACCTCGCCCTCTCGGCACCATTGGCCCTGTCGCTGCGTAGGTCACAGAAAACGATCCACGTGGCTTCCCCCGCACAGTCGTCGGCGCGAGGGACGCAGGAGAGCGAGAGCGAAGGAGCAAAGCGGCCGCTAAAGCCCGTTTCGACGGTGCCCGCGAACGTGCTGCTGGCAGAGCTGGACGCGCTCGACGACGTGGGGTCCCCTCCGGTGGGCGCGCCGCCGGCTGCGGTCCGGCGCGACAAGGCCAAGTCGATGGCGCCCGGCGCGCTGGTCAGCAGCAAGTCGGTCGCCGCCCCGAAGCTTCCGGGCGTGCCGCCGAACAGGGTGCGGCGCGACAAGGCCATGTCGACGGCTCCGGGCTCGCTGATCAGCAGCAAGTCGGTCGCCGCGGCAAAGCTGCGCAGCAGCAAGTCGGTCGTGGGCGCGGTGATGAAGGGAGCCAAGCCGCTCAAGAAGACGGCTGGGGACGCGAGCAAGTCGCGAAAGAACGCCGGGATCAAGCGGACGGAGTCCGCGATGCCCAGCGTCGCGGAAGCCACGACGGAGACCGCGACGGTGAGCTCGCGGAGGAGCGATGGCGCGACGGAGACGCTACCGTCGGTGAAGAAGCCGACGCACTCGCGGGGGAAGTCCAGGATCACCTTCGCGCAGCAAGTCACCGAGAGCACCTTCGTGGCCTCCGAGAGCGGCGGCCAAGAGGCGGAGGACGTGGACGGGCCCCAGAGGATGAGCAGGAGCGCGGTCGAGCCGGGCGTGCTCGGGCAGGCGCGAGGGCCGCAGTTCCGCAGCATCTTCGACGACGCGGCCGGAACGTCCGACTCGGGCGCGAGTACGGGGCACGGCAAGAAGTCCCCGTCAAAGCAGCGCAACGCAGTCGTGCACGTGGGCACCCTCCTGCCAGGGCAGGCGGTGGGGCTGTGGGAGTGCATCAACAAGATGCCGCTGCAGTCGAGCTACGTTCCGAGCAGGGACGTCGGGTGCGAGCTGCTCGCGATACCCCGCGCGGCGATCATGGACAACCTGCCAAAAGAGGCTGTGGAGCAGCTTTCGCTGATGCCGAACGAGGACCCGACCAAGGCGAGGCTCCGGCCTGGAGAGGAGCCGTCCGACGAGGCGCTTGCGGGGCTGCTGGAGGCGACGCACGTCTGGGGGACGTACAAGAAGGCGGTGCTGAACGAGACGCTGTCGGAGATCAAGAAACGCAAGGAGCTGCGGAGCTGGGGGCGCCCCTTCTGACGGCGGGCGAGCGGCGTCACAGGCTAGGGGAGCGCGGCATCCGCAGCTGTGAGTTCGCGTGTGTGCGCAGAGGATGTTGCCTTGTTGCCTGCTAGTGGTTGGCGGCCAGGTCCCGCGAACCGCCTCGGGCCTTGGACGGCGTTGAGCGCCCGGAGCCGCCGCGCTGCCCGCGCCCCCGCCCCGGGGACCGCCCGCCACGCAGCGGAGAGCGCCCTCCGCGGACGATGCGGGCGCGGCCGGGCGACCCACGGCCTCGTCCGCGTCCCGCGCCGGCAGCATACCCATCGTTGGACCTGTCGTCCTCCGACTCATGCGGCGGCGGCGGCGTCTCGCTGCGCGCCATGACCACGCGCCGCGGCACACGCTCATAGTCATTGGATCGGCTCCTGTGCCGGTCACGGTCGCTGCGCTCGGTGCGGTGCCGGGAGTCGTGGCGCTCGCGGTGGTCGTACGCGTCCCGGCGGTCCCGCCCATCCCCGTGCCGCGCAGGACTGCGGTGCCGCGCGTCCCGGCCGCGCTCGTGCCGGTCCCGCGACGCGTCCCGCGACCGTCGGCGCTCGTCGCGGCCCGCGTCCCTGCCCCTGTCGCTGTGCCTGAACTCGTCCGCCTCAGCCCTGCGCTCGTCGCGCGCGGCGACGCCCCAGCGCGACTCGCGGTGCCGACCGCCGCCATGGTCGCCGTCCTCGTTCCCCCGTCGCCGGCTGTCCGCGCGCGCGTCTTCCACCTCCGGCTGCGGCCTCGCCCTGTAGCCAGGAAGCAGCCGCGCCCGCGGGTCGCGGGTGCGCGGGCTCACCCGCGGCAACGGCACGTCGCTCCCAGTCCCGCCCGGCCTGGCCCACGCGCCCTGCCGCGCCTCGTCCGGCGCCGCCCGGTCCTCGAGCTTCGGACACAAGCGCTCCAGCCCGGCCTCGCTGTTCTTGGTCTTGCTCCGCTGCTTGCCATCCCGCTCCCGCTCCCGGTCCGCGTCCTCGTCCTCCTCGCGCAGCTTCCTGTTCCATGCGATCAGGTCATGGATCTTCGGCACCCTCGGGGTCAACTTCTGGGCGATCCGCAGCACCAGCGACGCCGGACCCTCGCGGGTGTTGTCGTCGGGGTCGGCGGCCCCCAGCGGCGGCAACGTCAAGCCGCGGGCGATCTTCTCGCTGTCATGCCAGTCCTCGGCGCACAGCCTGTCCAGCTTTCGGTAGTACGTGCTGCGCAGGATCCCGAGGAGCTCCGCGAGCCGCAGCAGCTCCTCCGGCCCCTCTTGCTGCTCGAACTTCTCCGCGCGCACTACCTGGTGCTTGCTGTGCTGGTCCCACACGCCCACGGTGTCGTCCACGATCACCGCCAGCGGAAACTCCGAGTGGCCGCTGCCGAACGCGTCGAACTTCAGGGGGCTCGCCTGCGCGCAGGTCGCACACGCGAACGCAGTTGGCAAGCCGTGCGTTCCGGCGGGAGAGGCACGGCCAGCGGCGGCGGACGTCGCGCCTCCGCGTCGCACAGGCGGCACTCACGGTGGTAGGTGTGTTCGGCATGAACTCCGCCCCGTCCCAGTGCTCGGAGGCCGCGTCGTGCCCGCCCTGCTTGTACTGCTCGAGCCGGTACCGCCACATGCCCATGTGCAGGGACTGCGGGAGGCCCTTGGACGCGCCCGGCGGGACCTGCTGGTGCTTGGTCGCCGCCACGATGTGCACCGGCCGCAGCCGGTGCGGGATCCACTGCCCGTCAGGGTCCAGCACGCGCCACACCTCCAGCGCGTACTCGCGGAGCCCCATGGTGTTGACGTACAGATCGAAGCCCCTGCGCGGCACGCGAGTCGGGTCTCGGAGCGTCGGAGCGACGTGGGCGCGGCGGCCTCGTCTGCTCGCGCGAGGGCGACGGCGTGCGGCGTACCCGGTCGCGCGCTGTCCGTCGGTGGAGCCGCCCTGGTCGCGCACGGCGTTGAGCCGCCGGAGGAACTCCTGCCAGCCCGGTCTGAGCCGCAGGAGCATGGACTTGTTGCGGTCCGCGGGGTCCAAGCGCGTCAGCACCGCACGCAGCTCCCCCTGGGCGTCCGTGAGCCGCACCACGGGCCGATTGAAGGGCGCCGCCGAGGGATTCTCCGGAATCACTTCCTCAGACTTGGCGTGGATCGCCTTCTGCGCAGCAAGTCACCGCGGGCGCCGGAAGCGACGGTCTCCGCGGGCCCCCGGCGCGGCACGGCAGGCACACGCAACGCACCGGCGCACCGGCCGCGCGCGCCCCCACCGCCTCCCAGCCCCGCGGAGTGCGGGCGTCGCGCGCACCTTGCCGTTCGCGGTGTCCACGATGCACCGGTCGCCCGCCACGTACTCGTTTAGGTGCACGTGGTCCTGCAGCGCCGAGCGGTGCTTCGCCGCCCGCGCCTCGTCGTCGCCGTCCTTGCCCGACGGCCGCGCGCTGAACCGGTCCAGCCAGGCGCGCCCCAGCGGCGTGCTGTGCACCAGCGTGTGGTCCAGATCCAGCACCAGCGCCAAGTCGCGGCTCTCCAGCAGCCGGAGGCCCTCCTCGAGCGCGCCGCTCGGGAGCAGGTGGCCGGAGTAGAACAAGAACTTCGGGGCCTTGCGCATCTTGCGGATGACCGGGCACAGGACCAGCTCGACGCCGCAGTTCGTTGCGGCGGCGCCGGGGGGCGGGCGGCCGAAGAGGTCCCGCACGACGAGGGCGCACCCGTTATTCTCGAGCTGGTAGGAGAAGGGCGCGCCCGGTTTGCCCATGTCCGCCAGGCAGTCCGGCCCGCGCCCGTTGGTCAGTATGTTGGCCACCATGAGGGGGGTGCGCTCCCCGGAGCCGTAGCGCCTGCGGACGTCGCGCGGGGGCACGCGGCGGAGGGGGTCGCGGTGGCAGCGACGCGGGGGCGGCGAGTGCACGCGCCTCGCGCACCGCCGCGGCGCCCCCAGGGGAGCGGGCCTGGGGGATCGCGGAAAGCGCGGGACGCACCAAACGGAGGCGTGCAGCTCGTCGCGCTTCGAAGCGCCCTGCATGCCCGTGACGAGCTTGCTGCTGATCCTCCCGTAGTCCGGAAACAGCAGCACGTCGACGCACGCGAACGCGCCGTCCCCCTCGAAGGGCCGGTGCTCCCAGAGCCACAGCTTCAGCTCCACGCTGGCCGCCGCTCTGAACGCGTCGCTCATCCTACTCAACTAGCTGTTTCTCCGTGCTCCCAAGCGACAGATGGGCCGCCACAGCGCGGTTCTGCGGCGCTACCGCTCCATGATCTGCAGGAAGAGCAATCGCGCGCTCCCCGACACGCGCGCTGGCACACTATACGCTGACCACGCCAAGACGGACCTGGGGCCGCTGCACTGTCGCGCGGAGGCAGCGACGCTCGGCCCTCGTCCGCCGGGCAACCACCACTGCTGCGAGTTCCCAGAGGACGCCCCCTGCGCGGGGCGTCGCTCGCAGGGGGCCCGGCGCGCCGCTGAGGGCGAGCCGGGCCGCGCGCCGCCGCCCGTCCGCGCAGAGTCGCCCCACAATCGAGCGCCGCGAGCCTGCGCGTGGTCGCGAAGATGTTTGCGCAGCGAGCGGCCGTGCCGCAGCAGTTGGCCCGAGCGCAGGGAGGAGGGCGCCGGAAACCGCGGGGGGCGCCGGTGCGGGCGGAGATGGTGGAGCGGATGTCGAGCTTGCGGCCGGACCTGGAGGAGGCGATCGAGGGCGCGGTCGGGAGGACGCTGACGGAGACGAACCTGCACCTGGGCGCGCACTACGTGGTGCGTGGCCCGCGCCTGCGCTGCGTCGCTCCCGGGGCGGACGGCCTGGCAGGATGGCCTTGCTCGTACACGAGGACGGGGCCGATTCGCTGCACGGCCTCTCACTCCGCCGCGACGGCGGCCGTCGCTGGCAACTAGAGCTCCGTCACACGGCGACGTAGAGCCACTTACTGGCCGTTTCCGGGCGTTGGTCGGAAAATGTAGCATGATGCGATCCCTCGGGGTGTTTTCGCGCGACCTGATCGCCCCGAAGAGCCCACGCTCGCGCGCACCACTCGTGCAACAAGCCGGCGTGTTCCACGCGACCCTCCAGGGCAAAGTGCGCGACACGTACGACTGCGGGGACAAGCTGGTCATCGTGACCACAGACCGGCAGAGCGCGTTCGACCGGCTGCTGGCGTCGGTGCCGTTCAAGGGCCAGGTGCTGAACCAGACGTCGGCGTGGTGGATGGACAACACCACGCACATCGTGCCCAACGCCATGCTCGCGCTCCCGGACCCGAACGTCACCGTCATGAAGAAGTGCCAGGTGTTCCCGGTCGAGTTCGTCGTCCGCGGGTTCATGACAGGCGCGCACAGTGCACCACAACCCCACACGCACACGCACACGCAACCGCACGCGCGCACCCCGCCCGCCCCCGCGCCGCCCCCTCCCACGCCGCGCCGCGCCCGAGCGCCCTGCGCGCGTGCAGGTTCGACGTCGACGTCCCTGTGGACGCACTACAAGAACGGCGCGCGCACGTACTGCGGGAACGCGTTCCCCGACGGGATGCGCAAGAACGACCGGCTGGCCGCGAACGTGATCACGCCGACGACGAAGGCGGCGGACCACGACGAGCCCATCGCGCCGGCGGACATCGTGGCGCGCGGGCTCATGAGTCAGGCGGACTGGGACCGCGCGAGCCAGGCGGCGCTCGAGCTGTTCGCGTTCGGGCAGCGCGAGGCGGCGTCCCGCGGGCTGCTCCTCGTGGACACCAAGTACGAGTTCGGCAAGGACGCGGACGGCAACATCCTCCTCGTCGACGAGATCCACACCCCGGACTCGTCGCGCTACTGGCTGGCGGAGACGTACGAGCGGCGCCACGCGGCGGGGCAGGAGCCGGAGAACATCGACAAGGAGTTCCTCCGCCTCTGGTTCGCGGACCACTGCGACCCGTACACGGACCAGGTGCTCCCGGAGGCCCCGCGGGAGCTGGTGGTGGAGCTGGCGCGGCGGTACGTGATGCTGTACGAGCGGATAACGGGGCAGGAGTTCCAGCCGGCGGTCAGGGACGGCGACGCGGACGCCGGGATGCGGGCCGCCATCGAGGCGGTGTTGTGACGGCGCTTGTGTACAGAGGGGCACGGCTCGCTGGCCGGCGTGGTGCCCGGTGCGGTCGCGGGTCGCGTGCGTGCGCAGGGGCGCGGCGCTGATCCCCGCTGCCTAGCTGCGTGGGAAACAACGCCGCGGCGGGGTGCTGACTCGACTGCGTCCCTGTGGTCCGACCAGGTCCCCGGCAGCGATCCGGAGAGTGCGCTGCGCGGGCACATCGGCGCGCCGTCCGCATGTCTCGGACACTCCTGCAGCAGCGATAGCGTCCGCGACGCCGGACGTGTCCTGCCCTCCGTGCGCGCGGCCCGTGTACGTGCAGCACTGTCTCTCGCGGCGACGTGCACGTCGCATCGCGTTACACAGACAACGCACCATATTTCATCGACACGCCGTGCATGGATCCCCGTCGTCGCTGAAACGTGCGCCCGGAAGGCCCGAGGTCTTTTCGGCCGGCCCCTGCGCCAAGGTCTCACAGCGAGGATCAGCGGGCGGCGCAGGGTGGCCAGTCCTGCGTCCGCAGGCGACCAGCGGAGAGGCGTGACATGCAGGCGCGCACCCGGCCCGCCCGGCACTGCCCGCCCCACGCAAGCGCACATCCCTGCGGGCCCTCCCTCTCTCCGCCAGGAGCTGCCTCCCGAGGGCGCTCGCCAGCCGGGATCCGCGCCTGCGTCGCACGGGGGCGTGGGCCAGCGACGCGCACCTCGTTGTCTGCCCGCGAAACGCGCGTCGGGCGCCCTCGGGCTGATCGGCACTGGCGTTCTTCCGACGCAGGATCAGGGTTCGTCCCCGGGCGGCCCGCCGCAGCCCAAGCGCGCGGCCGACCAGCTCCGCGACACGCTCGCTGGCATGACGGCCGGCGCAACCAACATCGCAACAGGGTGACCCCCCCCGAACGCACACGTCCGCGCCAGCCGGCCTCACACCACCAGCGCATGCCACGCCGGCTGTTGGCAGCTCGCGAGCGCCCGCGTCGCCCGTCGCCTCCGACATCACGGTGACCGCCGCGTCTCAGGGTTCCTCTGCGTCCCCTCCGGCGGTGCAGGTATCCGATGGACACCGTCAAGGTGCGGATGCAGGAGTTCAAGGGACACCGCCACGCGTCCTCGTGGGAGTGCGCCAAACACATCGTCAGGTGCGACGACACGCCCCCGCCCGCGGCGCAGATGCTCCGCAGCTCTTGCAGAGGGGCAGGAAGACTGGCCGGTCCCCTGCCAGCCGCCGACACGCGAATGATGCACGGGGGGTGTCCGAAGCAGAATTATGGCACGGATGGCGCGCAGGAACGAGGGGTTCTTCTCACTATATCGCGGCCTCATGCCACCCGTCATCGGCGGGGCGCTCGAGACGGCGCTGAGCTACTGGGCCTGCAACAAGGTGGGCGCACCTACTGTACGGCAGCGCAAACGCACCCGCCTGCAGCGCCCCCGTCCGCCCCCACGCGCCGCCCCTCCCGCGTCTCCCCGCAGACCATCAACGCGATATCCGGGCACACTAAGCCGGACGAGGCCCCGCTCCCCGTGGTGGCTGCGGGGGCCTTTGTCGCCGGCATCGTCCTCAGCCCCGTCCTGTCGCCGATGGAGCTGCTCAAGTGCCGCATGCAGACCGCTGCGCCGGGCGAGCACAGCGGCTCCCTCGACTGCCTCCGGAAGGCCATCCGCGACGAGGGCTGGCGCGTGTTGCTGCGCGGCGTCCCGGGCACCATGGCGCGCGAGATGCCCGGCAACGCCGTGATGTTCACGGTGTACGAGGGGCTACAGCGCGGACTGGGTCTGCGCGGGGGCGACGGCGGCGCGATGGGGTCGGACTGGGGCGCGACGATGGAGCAGGGGCGGCCCAGGGGCGTGTGGGAGCTGGCGGCGGGGATCGTGCGGGACGCGGGGACGGCGGTGGTGTGCGGGGGGCTGGCGGGGATGGTGATGTGGGGCGTCGTGCTGCCGGTCGACATCGCGAAGACGCGGATCCAGGTGTCGCACCCGGCGTCGGCGATGTACGCGACGGGCGTGCTGGGGCACATGCGGCACGTGGTGCGCACGCGCGGGTGGGGCGGGCTGTACGCGGGCATCGGGCCCGTCATGGTGCGGGCGTTCCCGGCGAACGCCGCGCAGTGGCTCGCATGGGAGGCGGTGGTGCGCGTTTACGACGACATGGCGCGGGAGGGGGGTTGACACGCCCCGCCCCTGAACGGCGGAGCGCCTGTGATCCACGACAACGTGTCGCGCAGCTCACACGCTGCGTCGCGCGCCCACCCGCCCAGGCGTCAGCTCGGCTCCCCGCTGCGCTCCACGAACCGCAACAAATCCGCCGCCCTCGCGTCGCCGAGCTCGCGCGCAGGCGACGCCGGTCCCTCCCCGCTCGACTTCGCCCCCTCCGCGCCCGCCTCGCCCGCCGCGCCCGCACGGAACCGCTCGAGGCGCGCCTGCAGCTTGGCGGCCACGTCGTCGACCGCGCTCCACACCTCCTGCAGCTCCGGGTCGCCGTGCCAGCGATCCTCCGCGCCGTCGTCCCTGTGAGCGGAGTCGCCGCGGCCCGACTGCCGCGCGTCGAGGGCCGCGGTCTCCCGGCTGGAGAGCGACGCGCCCGAGTGGCGCACGCGGAACGAGCCGCCGCCGGCGAACGCGGCGGTCGTGGCGGAGAGGCTCGTGGGGAGGGGCTGCAGCGGGCGGAGGCCCGTGGGGTGCCGCGGGTCGGGCTGGCCGGGGAGGGCGCGCGGTTCCGGCGCGGAGGGGCCTGCGCCGTCTGCCTGGGGCACTCGCCGCGCGCACTCGCGCGCGATTTGGCGGAAGAGGCGCTTCGAGCGGCCCTTGCGCACGCGGGACATCTCCTGGGCGAGGGCGCGGAGCTCCGTGATCTGGGCTTGCGAGCAGCTTGCCAGTGCTTGCACCAGCGCCTCGTCGCTGGGCTGCGGAGCGGGAGCGGCGGCGGGCGCGGCGTCAGCGGGGCGCAGCTCGCGGGGCACGCATGCGGGGTGCGAGGACACGTGTCGCAGGGGCCGGTCGCGGCCGGAGCAGGCCGCGTGCCGCGCTCGACTGGCGCGTGCAGGTGTGAGGCGCACCTCCTGGCCGCCCGGGACGCCCGTGCGCAGGCGTTCGAGCGACTCTCCGTCGCCCGACAGCGCGAGCAGCAGCCTCTCGATCGTGTGCCCTTCCACGACCGCCGACGTCGTCGCGCCATCGACTTCGTACCTCCTGTAGCACACGAGCAGGCGGACACGTCACGGGGCCGCCACGAGACGCGCAGGGGGGCCGGACGGAGGAGGTGCTCCCTACGAGAAGGCGCCGACGCACCGCACAGCTCTCGCGAGCGGCGCGAGAGGCCGCACGGCCGCATCCAAGGAGTCAGAGCGCCAGGACGCAGCGGTCGCGTGCGCGGCGCTCGACGCCGCAGCGCTCGCCGGGCCATTGCGAGCATTGTGGCCGCGCGTGCCGCCACGCCGCGCACCTGTGAATGAGCTGCACGGCCTTCTGCGAGCGCGTCCGCCGCGGCTGCACTGCCTCGGGCCCCCCCGACGTGCCTCCAGCCCTCGCGTCCGGCGAAGCGGGGCCGCGACTGCCCGGCGTCCGCGCGCCCGCCTCGACGTCGTCGCCGAAGACGTCGCCGGACGCAGGCGGCGTCGCGATGATGGGGGGCCGCGGGGCCCCAAACAAGCTACGCATCCTGCTGCACCGCTGGGACCGGGCTCGAAGCTACCTCGCGGTGCGGGGCCGGGTTGAGAGTAACCCGGAGCCCCGGGGCGCGCGGCACGTGCCGGCGCTCGGTGCACAGGCAGGGCGCAACCCCCCCGCCTGATGCGTGCGACAGCCTGGCGGTCGGGCGGCCGGGGCCGGGCCCGGCCGGGGCGCGCTGCCGCGCGCAGAGTGCGTGCGTGGGCGGGCGGCTCTCGTCACTGCGGCGACAGCCCTCCACGAACCTTTCCGTCGTTTCGAACGAGCCACGCCAGTCCGCGCTTGAGCACCAGAACCGCGCCCCTTGCCACTCAAGCGCGCGAGGCCCTCCTCTCAGCGAGCGGAAGGACTCTGCTTCAAACTGCGCCGCCCACCGTTGCGGCCACGCACGTTTTTCTCCGGACACCGCTCCGGAGGAGGAGCTCGTTGGCCGGGCGCCAACTCCACGCGCTGGCTTCCTGCTCGGTCCCCGCACGCGAGCAAGGGATCCGGGACGGCGCCGAGCTTCACCGTAGGGGTGCGACCGGCGGAGCTCAGGCCGGCAGGTTCACGGGCGACGACGGACCGGGGCGAAGATGGCAGATGCAGCTGCAGCGGCTACCGACGCCACGTTCGTCGGAGACGAGGTGGGGACGGTGATCAAGGATAGCATTGACGAGGTTCTGCAGAACCAGCAGTACGAGCCACGGCAGGTGGGCCGCCCCAAGCGCACGCCGCCCCCCCCGCATGTCACACTGTGCCGTGGAGCGCGGGGGGCGCAGCGCCTCGCTGCGGAGGCCGCCAGCGCCGGACCCAGCCGCGCGCTGCCTCTCTTTCCCACCGCTCGCCTCAGCGGGGGGGACTCGCCGGGCGGCGTGCCCGCCCGGCGCGGCACGACGCGCGCAACCGCATGCCCACACCCACGCCGGGCCTCCGCCGACGCAGGTCCCACAATGGACGTCTTCGTGCCTGGAGACGTGCGTCCGGAAGCTGACGAACCTCCAGAAGCCCATGAAGTACATCGTCACCTGCGTCATCATGCAGAAGACGGGTGCGCTCCCCTCCCGCCACACCAACACGCCACGCACGGGCGCCCCCACGGCGCCCAGCGCGGCCCACGCAGCGGCCCCCGCTCGAGCGCGCCCGCACGCGCCACGGCGCCGCCCACCGCGCGCCCGGACGCCCCCGCGGCGGTGCAGGTGCGGGACTGTGTACGGCGTGTTCCTGCTGGTGGGACAACGCGATGGACGGGAGCAGGACGTTCCGGTGGGAGAACAAGACGATGTACTGCCTCGTGACCGTGTTCGGGCTCGCCATCTAGGCTCGCGGCCACGCAGCGCGCGGCGTGAGTGCAGTGTGATGTCGTGCGCGGCCACTGCGTGTCTCGGGCTCACCCGTCGCCGCGGGGGAACGGCGGAAGGCGCCACGCCGCGGCGCGCAGGCCGGTGTTCGTCGCCGTAACCTGCAGCGCGTCGGCGCCTGTCTTCGCGGTACGCCTGTCGTGAGGAAATCGGGGGCGCGCGCCGGCCGACTAGCACGCGGCGGCGGAGGGTGGCTCGGTCAGCCGCTCTCGCCAGTTGCCACGATCCTCGTCAGCCCATGTCGGCACGGCCGCGTCTCGCGAACAGGGCATGGGTGGACTCGGATGAAGGGCACGCGGGGCATAGCATGGCAGCCAGCTCCGAAAGTCGAGATCTGCCACGCGCCGGGACGCATAGGCTGGGGTGGGTGGATCCCGGCGCTGGCTTTGCGGGTCTGTGGGGGGTTCAGGTCCCGCCTGCGCGTCAGGGAGGGGGGGGGACAGTGGAACGGCGCCAACTGCGCGGCAAGATGTGCCGGTCTCGACGACAGCGCAGCGCTGTATGGCCCCGAACATCCGTGCGCCGTAGCCAGGCCTCGTGCGCGTTCATCCCGAACCCGCAGGGCACGTACAGCAGCGAGCTTGCAGGGGGGCGCGCGTGCGTCCAGCGGGCCTACGGGCCATGGTCTCGGCCTGAACCGATACCCTCTGGACATTATAAGTGGCAGCGGTTCGAGGCCATGGCACAGGGGCCTTGCTGCTATCCACCCGGAGTGACTTCTGGCCCGCATGTAGTCTACTCGACGTCTGAAACGACGCTGAAAGGGGAAGACGGTCACTGCGCCGCGACGAACATACCGCTTCCAGGAGCAGGTGATAAGGTAAGAATGGGGTGCAGATTGCGCCCCCGTCAGCGCCACAGCGCCACGTCGACTGTGTTGCTGCCTTCTCCTCGCCGAGCTCGTGCTGATTCCGCGACCGACGGCCTGCATTCAACGCTCCGGCGGCGCTTTTGCTCCAGATCTATCACGCGCTGCGCGTTCGTGCCACCTTGGCGCGTGCACCGCGGCGGTATGCCCTCAGGGCTGCTGCCCCACTAGGTCGGATAGTTCAACCTTTGCCTGACGCTCGGCAGCGCCACATTCCGCCGGTCTCGCCGGGGAGCGATGCAAGAGGCTCCGTTTGGCGCGTGGTGGGGCGCAGGAATCCCGGAAGGCGTGCCCCGCCCCAAGAACATGGCACCTCTTTGCGGTCTGCGACGGACACAACGGGCGCACTGCCTCCTCGTGGCTGTCGGGGAAAATCAAAGACGCCATCGCAGCGAGGATGCCGCACGGACCGCCACCTCCCCGCGACACCGAGGAGGCCGAGACGTGGATTGCTGCTCTCCGGCACGCAGTGGAGAAGGTGCGCTCCGCCGCGCGTGCCCCCGCCGCGCGCGCCCTGATTTCGACGCCCTCTGGCATGTTACACGTGCCAGCTGGCGCCTCGGTTGCGTCTCGCACGCCGCCGTCTCGCTGCCCATGCCGGGGCCGCAGGCCCTTTCCGCGCCCCAAAGGTGCACACGGCGCCACGCTGGCACGCCGCCGTCCCGCGCCGCCGCACCGGTCACCGATCCCGCCGCTGGGCTGGACACCGGCCGTGCTGCGCAGGCAATCATCCATCTGGAGGAGGACTTCGCGAAGGTGGCGACCGAGTCGGGGTGCACGGTCACGGTGGTCGTCGTCGTGGGCTACGTCGTGACGGTGGCCAACGCGGGCGACTCCACGTGCCTCCTCGACACGCGCGCGGGGATCGAGCAGCTCAGCACGGACCACCGCATCGAGGACAACTTCGTCGAACAGAAGCGGCTGCTGCAGGCGGGGGGCTTCCTGGCCCGGCTGGACGCGGCGGCGATGGGGCCGTGCTTCGACGAGCCGACGCAGGACGGCCAGTTCCCGGGCTTCGGCCCGCTGCGCGTGTGGCCGGGCGGGCTCGCGCTGTCGCGTGCGTTCGGGGACTTTGACGTGGGGGAGTTCATCCTGTGTCAGCCCTACGTGCAGCAGGTGATGCTGCCGCCGAGCGGGGGGCGCATCGTCGTGTGCAGCGACGGGATCTGGGACAGCTTCGAGGAGTACGCGCAGGGGGTGCGGCACATCCGGAAGTTCGCGGGGGGCGCGGCGGCGGAGCGGCTGAACGCGTTCGCGGTGCGGTGCCACGGCGTCACGGACGACAACACGGCCGTAGTGGTGGACGTGCTCCCCTCGCGCGACGCGACCTGGCCGCGGCTGGTCGGCGAGGACGGCGGCGCCGGCGGGCTGTGCGGGATGTGTGCGCGCCGCCCCGCGGTCGAGGAGCACGACGCGGTCGCGAAGGACCGCGGCGAGGTGGTGCCGATCAGCAGCATCGACTGCGCGGACGGCGTTGGCCCGGTGCTGCAGCCAGGCCTGACGACGAAACTGCGGAAGAAGATGCAGGGCGAGGCGCGGGAGCTCGCGAACGCGTACCGCAGCGCGCTGCGCCTGAAGGAGGACGAGATGGAGGCCAGCGAGGTCAGCGACGTCCCGACAACGGCGTGCGGCGTCAAGAAGCGGGCGATGGCGGACCCCAGCGTTAGGGGCGGCTCGCTGTTCGCGGACATGGCCCGCATGCTGGCCGTGTCGCAGGAGCGCGCGGAGGTGGTCAGCGCCCTCGTCGAGCAGCTGGACAAGACGGCGCCGCGCTCACAGCCGGACTGGGCGGAGGCGGAGGGGCACGACACTGAGCACAAGCACAAGGTCACGCAGCACGAGCGGATAGAGCGCGCGGCGCGGGCGGCGGTGCTCTTGCTGCAGTCCAAGGTCCCGCTGAAGCTCACGCGGATCAAGCAGCACGCGGAGCAGCCGCGGCAGTCCGTCGACAGGCCCGAAGAAGATGCCGGTGAGTGCTGCGTGCCGTGTGGTGGTTCGCGCTGGGCCTTGAGTCTTCCGGATGAGCCACGGACGCGCTCGCGACGTTCCCGCGGCGGCGCCTCATGCCTGTTCCTCTCGTGCTTGTTCTCGCAGCGTCCAGCTCGGCCCCGGAGACTCCTGTGCCGCGGCCCCAGGCTAGCCTGAGCCGCCGCGCGACGAACACGGCTCCCGGCGAGGGCGCTGAGCACGACGGCACGAAGCGCAACCCGGTCGACAATCGCATTCACATCGACCAAGACCCTTAAGACTGATGGCGCAGGGCCCGACTGAGTGCCATGAAACGTGGTCACCAGATGGACTGCACGTTGGTGGCTCTCTGGGCACATCGCCGTCGGCTTCCTTGCGAGCACGTTCACGCCCTCTTCGGTGTGCAACGAATCGCTTTGCGCCGTTCCGCACTGGTGAGCAACTTGAACACGCCGCCAGCAACACAACTTACCCCGGCTCGCTGCTCCAGTCCTGCGCCGACAGGCTGTCAGCGGGAAGGGTGCACGGCCCACTAAACGTCTACTCGGCTTCCCTCCCTTCGGCGCGGTGGTGTGACAACGTCATCGTGACCTCCGCGACGGGCTAGCAGCGGCTCGCGCGGCCCCGTACCGCGTGCGCTGCTCGCCGCGCTCCGCCCCCGCCTCAGCGCTCGCGCTGCCAAGCCGCGCCCTCCCCGGCACGCGTTCCGCACCCCGCGTGGCGACGCTGCGACGCAGCAACAGCCCTGTTGTCACCGTCCCGCGGGCGGGCGCCGGCGTCCGAGCGCCTGCCCGCGCCGCGCCCCGCCCGCCACACACCTGCAGCGTGCGCCGCACTGCCGCACGCGCTCCCGCAGCCCCCGCCCACCACGCCCGGGGCCCCTTTTCTCCTGAGCCACGAAGCGCTCCAACACATCTCCCCCCCCGCCCGCGGGGCTTCATTGCCGCGGCCGGCGCCCCCCGCACGGCACTCCTGCACTCTGGCGAACAGGAACATCCGTCTCACGACCGACCCAATACCTACGAACTCTCTCAAGATGATCGCCGCCAGGACTGTTGCCCTCCCCAGCGCTGCCGCCCTCCACAGGGCGCAGCCCAAGGCCGCTGCGGCCCGGCGCACTGCGATGCGGGTACGTCGCTGACCCGACACATGTGCGAGCAGTGCGATGCGTGCGCGGGTGACGCGCGCGTCGCCGCAGCGACGCGCCGCGGGACGCCTGGCCGCCAGGGCCGCTCCTGGCCCAGACACGTTTGCGTGCGGGGCGGGCTGGCGGGGCGTGTGCGGGCGCTGCGGGGCGCGCGGGCGCGTCTGCGCGTCACTGCGCGGGCGCGGCGCGGTCTTGTGGCGCGGTATCAGCCCTCGCGCGGCCTGCCCCGGACAGCCCCACTGCTGGTGGCTCACAGAGGCCGGGCCGCGGGAGGGCGGCTGGGGGCGCGTTGCGGGCGCGTGGAGCGGCGGGGCGTGCTTGTGCGGTGTGTGCGGGGGTGCTGACGTGTGCGTGTGCGTGGGTTTGCGTCCGCAGGTGCGCGCGACGGAGGGTGATGCCGAGCCCTCCAACGCGGAGCCGGAGGAGGAGTTCGTGCCGATGCAGCCGCCGCTGGCGACGGACAAGCCCAACCCGTGGAAGGCGATGGAGGTGACGTCGGTGGGCCCGGAGCTGATCAACGGGCGCATGGCGATGGTGGCGTTCGTGGCGCTGCTGGGCGCGGAGCTGTCGACGCACGAGACGCTGGTGCAGCAGTTCATGGAGGCGAAGAACGAGGTGGGGCTGCTGGTGGCGCTCTTCACGGTGGCGACGCTGGTGCCGCTGTGGCGCGGCGCGGACGGCAAGGCCGTGGGCCCGCTCAACCGCCAGGCTGAGATCTGGAACGGGCGCGCGGCCATGATCGGCTTCGCGGCGACGATGTGGATCGAGCTGAACACGGGCCACGCGCTCTTCTAAGCGAGCCGCGAGGGACCCCACGTAAGCATAGCAAGACACCGCAGGCCGACATAGACGCACCGCGATTGGTGCACCACTGTAGCAGCATTGTAAGACGCCCACGGCAGGCCGCGCACACGGTGGTCACTCGGGAGCCCGGACTCACTCGGTGCATGTGCGGCGAGCAGGCTGTGCGGCGAGCAGGCTGTGCGAGCGCGACTTGCTCGCGCTGCTCGCAGTGGACAGCAACCAAACGACGAAAATGTTGTGCCCGTGCGCCGCTCGCTGTTTGACGGGCGTCGCTGTCGGCCTGATCCGACGCCGCGGCGCGTCCTTAGGGGTTCCGGTGCCGGCGCTCTGCTGCCCGTGGTGGCGTGCAACATGTCAAGCAGGAGCATGTCCCCGCTCACTGAGGTGAGGTGAGGTGTCACATTCTTCGCGTCGTCAGCCATAAGGCTTTGGGACCTGAAAAGATCATTCGACTAGGTGGCGAGTCATGCTAACCCCGCACCGTTATGGTAGCAACAGGTTCGGCAGCTGTGACAGAGTCGGCCTGGAGCAGATCCTCGATGCCACGAGCAAAGATCGCCATGCCTCGCTGATTCGGCAGGTTCAGGAGATAACGCACTGCAGCGTTGGCAGCGGCTTCCGAGTCGAGTGTTGCAGCGCCGTACAGGTCCTCGAGGTGCTGGCGTAGCCGGCGGTTGAGAGCGAAGCAGCGGCGCTGTCCAACAGTTGCCGTGGACGACAGGGGCGCATCGGCGGCGGGCGGGGGTGGCAGCGTGAGGTGCCCAGACGAGTCCATGGCCAGGCCCGCTCGTTCCCGGAGAGAGCGTACCGCTGGGGCGCAGCAGTCCAGCAGCAGGTGGCGGAGGTCCTCCGGGGCGGGCGATGCCGCCACGTCCACGCAGAAGCGGCAGACTTTCGACGGGTGCGACAGCGGTGTGTGTTGCCACTGCTGCTCCTGGTCCGCCATGGCCATCGTGGAGGTGCGCAGCCTCGTAGCTCCCACACGCAGGCGGGATAGGGCACGGCGGTCACTGTAAAGAGGGCTGGTCGAGCCGTGGTCTGAAGACACAGCGTGACGGTTCGACACGCGGTGCGGGGCCGCATCTTCACAGTCGCCGAACGCTCGAGGCTTGAGACTGACGCGGTTGTTACATGTCAGAGGTACGGGCACCCCGGACCGTACCGCTGCACGCGCCACCCGCTGGCTCGAGCGTGACCTCTCGAGCACCAAGTGGTCGCTCTCTAGGTCACACTTCACAAGACTCCCTCGTCACTATCCTACACGGCGCCTACGTCGCCGCGCACACCACACAGGGACCTCTGGACGAGAGTCCCCTGTGACATTACACTTGTCTAGTCCCCAAGGGTGTCAATGCAGCTTGCGGTCGTCAGACCCCTGACCTGTGACCCTATCGTCAGGGAGAAATCCTAGTAGAAGCAGGACGACCGCGTGTGCGCGTTCCGGGAGGTTGAGCATGCACCGCACCACGAGCAACCTTTCATGCACCTCGATGGCATGCGGATGCCATGTGCATCGCAGTAGCTTCACATCGCTGTAGCACAATGCGGCAGCTAGGTAGCGCTGCAGCACGCCGGATAGGGTGGCGCAGCTTCGTAGGCCACAGCGCGACTGTCAATGATCCAGCACAGCTGCGGAACACACAAAGAGCGGACACCGGCCCGCCGCGCCCCCGAGTATCGCGTTCTGACGGGCGCTCGATCAGGACCGGCTCTGGGCTCTATCATGGCGGATAGACGCAGCGCGGCCGTGCAACGGCACAGTGCTGTGATGGCAGTGTTGAAACAGCGGCTCGCGCGGGCCCGGACTGCGTGCGCTGCTCGCCGCGCCGCGCCCCCGCCTCAGCGCTCGCGCTGCCACGCCACGCCCTCCCCCTCCCCGGCACGCGTTCCGCACTCCGCGCGGCGCCCCCCTCGTGCGACGCAGCAACAGCACCTGCAGCCCTGCTGTCACCGTCCCGCGGGCGGGCGCCGGCGTCCGAGCGCCTGCCCGCGCCGCGCCCCGCCCGCCACACACCTGCAGCGTGCGCCGCACTGCCGCACGCGCTCCCGCAGCCCCCGCCCACCACGCCCGGGGCCCCTTTTCTCCTGAGCCACGAAGCGCTCCAACACATCTCCCCCCCCGCCCGCGGGGCTTCATTGCCGCGGCCGGCGCCCCCCGCACGGCACTCCTGCACTCTGGCGAACAGGAACATCCGTCTCACGACCGACCCAATACCTACGAACTCTCTCAAGATGATCGCCGCCAGGACTGTTGCCCTCCCCAGCGCTGCCGCCCTCCACAGGGCGCAGCCCAAGGCCGCTGCGGCCCGGCGCACTGCGATGCGGGTACGTCGCTGACCCGACACATGTGCGAGCAGTGCGATGCGTGCGCGGGTGACGCGCGCGTCGCCGCAGCGACGCGCCGCGGGACGCCTGGCCGCCAGGGCCGCTCCTGGCCCAGACACGTTTGCGTGCGGGGCGGGCTGGCGGGGCGTGTGCGGGCGCTGCGGGGCGCGCGGGCGCGTCTGCGCGTCACTGCGCGGGCGCGGCGCGGTCTTGTGGCGCGGTATCAGCCCTCGCGCGGCCTGCCCCGGACAGCCCCACTGCTGGTGGCTCACAGAGGCCGGGCCGCGGGAGGGCGGCTGGGGGCGCGTTGCGGGCGCGTGGAGCGGCGGGGCGTGCTTGTGCGGTGTGTGCGGGGGTGCTGACGTGTGCGTGTGCGTGGGTTTGCGTCCGCAGGTGCGCGCGACGGAGGGTGATGCCGAGCCCTCCAACGCGGAGCCGGAGGAGGAGTTCGTGCCGATGCAGCCGCCGCTGGCGACGGACAAGCCCAACCCGTGGAAGGCGATGGAGGTGACGTCGGTGGGCCCGGAGCTGATCAACGGGCGCATGGCGATGGTGGCGTTCGTGGCGCTGCTGGGCGCGGAGCTGTCGACGCACGAGACGCTGGTGCAGCAGTTCATGGAGGCGAAGAACGAGGTGGGGCTGCTGGTGGCGCTCTTCACGGTGGCGACGCTGGTGCCGCTGTGGCGCGGCGCGGACGGCAAGGCCGTGGGCCCGCTCAACCGCCAGGCTGAGATCTGGAACGGGCGCGCGGCCATGATCGGCTTCGCGGCGACGATGTGGATCGAGCTGAACACGGGCCACGCGCTCTTCTAAGCGAGCCGCGAGGGACCCCACGTAAGCATAGCAAGACACCGCAGGCCGACATAGACGCACCGCGATTGGTGCACCACTGTAGCAGCATTGTAAGACGCCCACGGCAGGCCGCGCACACGGTGGTCACTCGGGAGCCCGGACTCACTCGGTGCATGTGCGGCGAGCAGGCTGTGCGGCGAGCAGGCTGTGCGAGCGCGACTTGCTCGCGCTGCTCGCAGTGGACAGCGACCGGAGAGAGGTCGGAAGACTGCCAACACTTCGTGCCTGTATGCCGCTCGCTGTTTGACGGGCGTCGCTGTCGGCCTGATCCGACGCCGCGGCGCGTCCTTGGGGTCCCGGTGCCGGCGCTCTGCTGCCCGTGGTGGCGTGCAACATGTCAAGCAGGAGCATGTCCCCGCTCGCTGTAAAGAGGGCTGGTCGAGCCGTGGTCTGAAGACACAGCGTGACGGTTCGACACGAGGTGCGGGGCCGCATCTTCACAGTCGCCGAACGCTCGAGGCTCGAGACTGACGCGGTTGTTCTAGTCCGCAAGGGTGTCAGTGCAGGTTGCGGTCATCAGACCCCTGTGACCCTGTCGTCAGGGAGAAATCCTAGTAGAAGCACGACGGCCGCGTGTGCGCGCTGTTCGCGGGGGCTGGTGGTGCGGTGCAAGAGAATGCACCGCACCACCAACCTTGCACGCACCTCACTGTCACGCGGATGCCGGACATGCCGGATATGCATCGCAGTAGCTTCACATCGCTGTAGCATTATGCGGCAGCTAGGTAGCGCCGCAGCACGCCGGATAGGGTGGCGCTAGTCACTTCGAGGGTCCCAGCGCGACCGTGAATCATCCAGCATGACTCACAGGACAGATCACAAAAGGAGCTGACAACGGCCCGCCGTGCCCCCGCGCATCGCGTTGTGACGGGCGCTCGCTGAAGACTGGCGCTGGGCTCTATCATGGCAGACAGGTGCAGCGCGGCTGTGCAACAGCACAGTGCTAGCAGTGTTGAGCGGCTTGCGCGGCCCCGTACCGACGCGTGCGCTGCTCGCCGCGCCGCGCCCCCGCCTCAGCGCTCGCGCTGCCACGCCACGCCCTCCCCCTCCCCGGCACGCGTTCCGCACTCCGCGCGGCGCCCCCCTCGTGCGACGCAGCAACAGCACCTGCAGCCCTGCTGTCACCGTCCCGCGGGCGGGCGCCGGCGTCCGAGCGCCTGCCCGCGCCGCGCCCCGCCCGCCACACACCTGCAGCGTGCGCCGCACTGCCGCACGCGCTCCCGCAGCCCCCGCCCACCACGCCCGGGGCCCCTTTTCTCCTGAGCCACGAAGCGCTCCAACACATCTCCCCCCCCGCCCGCGGGGCTTCATTGCCGCGGCCGGCGCCCCCCGCACGGCACTCCTGCACTCTGGCGAACAGGAACATCCGTCTCACGACCGACCCAATACCTACGAACTCTCTCAAGATGATCGCCGCCAGGACTGTTGCCCTCCCCAGCGCTGCCGCCCTCCACAGGGCGCAGCCCAAGGCCGCTGCGGCCCGGCGCACTGCGATGCGGGTACGTCGCTGACCCGACACATGTGCGAGCAGTGCGATGCGTGCGCGGGTGACGCGCGCGTCGCCGCAGCGACGCGCCGCGGGACGCCTGGCCGCCAGGGCCGCTCCTGGCCCAGACACGTTTGCGTGCGGGGCGGGCTGGCGGGGCGTGTGCGGGCGCTGCGGGGCGCGCGGGCGCGTCTGCGCGTCACTGCGCGGGCGCGGCGCGGTCTTGTGGCGCGGTATCAGCCCTCGCGCGGCCTGCCCCGGACAGCCCCACTGCTGGTGGCTCACAGAGGCCGGGCCGCGGGAGGGCGGCTGGGGGCGCGTTGCGGGCGCGTGGAGCGGCGGGGCGTGCTTGTGCGGTGTGTGCGGGGGTGCTGACGTGTGCGTGTGCGTGGGTTTGCGTCCGCAGGTGCGCGCGACGGAGGGTGATGCCGAGCCCTCCAACGCGGAGCCGGAGGAGGAGTTCGTGCCGATGCAGCCGCCGCTGGCGACGGACAAGCCCAACCCGTGGAAGGCGATGGAGGTGACGTCGGTGGGCCCGGAGCTGATCAACGGGCGCATGGCGATGGTGGCGTTCGTGGCGCTGCTGGGCGCGGAGCTGTCGACGCACGAGACGCTGGTGCAGCAGTTCATGGAGGCGAAGAACGAGGTGGGGCTGCTGGTGGCGCTCTTCACGGTGGCGACGCTGGTGCCGCTGTGGCGCGGCGCGGACGGCAAGGCCGTGGGCCCGCTCAACCGCCAGGCTGAGATCTGGAACGGGCGCGCGGCCATGATCGGCTTCGCGGCGACGATGTGGATCGAGCTGAACACGGGCCACGCGCTCTTCTAAGCGAGCCGCGAGGGACCCCACGTAAGCATAGCAAGACACCGCAGGCCGACATAGACGCACCGCAACGGGTGCCGCATTACTCCGCATCCCCCCTCTTGTGAACAACTTGGACGATAATTCTGAGCGAGCCTCACACGCGCGGTGTCGCACAGAGCGTCGCCATCATATCTACTCGCGCCAACCGGATGCACTTGGCACTAGTACGCGCGAACGTCCACTACAGGCACCAATCGAGGTAACAATGCGTTACCATGGCCCAACAACCTTAAGCCCAATACATACGCTATGCGCAAGGCTGCAGGCGTACCGCACTATTATGGCACAGTAAAGATGCACAAGCCCACCCCCCAGTTTCGTTTCATTTCCGACTGTACCATGGACGCCACACGCGGCGTAGCGGAGACGCTGACGGCGGCATTGCGCGCTCTCTGTCACCCTGACGAGGCGCACGCGGTGTGGCGCTCGCAGCTCTTCGCCGGCATCCCCGAGGACCTCGTGCCTCCGTTTCGGCCGTTTATGACGAACAGCCACGACGGTGTACGCGAGATGGTGCAGGAGTACAACCGGTGTTCGCAACCGCGACACGCGGCCGACACTCGGAGGGCCCCCGTGCTGGACGGCGCCGACGTGACGCGCCTGTACACGCACATCCCGCACGGCGATGACGACGTGAACGGGCGGGGCCTGATCAACCGGGTCTGTCACTACATCTCCTTGGTGCACTCCGTCAACCACCCTGGCGAGAGGCTGTACCTGCACCTGCGCCGCGGCCTGGACGATCCTGCCTGGTCGTGGCTGCCGCACGACGCGAACCCGGAGGAGGCGTGGGCCGAAGACGACCCCCGGCGCAACTTCTACGTGCCGGGACTCCCCCTTCTGCACGAGCTCGTTCGCTTCCTCGTGACGAACTCGCACGTGTACTTCGGGGTCGAGATGGTCTACCGGCAGCGCGCTGGGGTCCCCATGGGCCTCTCGTGCTCGCCATACTTCGCCGACGTCTACATGTTCATGTGCGAGCTCGACTTTCTCCTACAGTTCCGCAACCGCTGGGAGGAGTCGGGCGACCTCGCATGGCTCTCCGTGCTGTCGAGGTTCCGCTTCGTGCGGCGCTACATGGACGACAACCTCTCGGTGGGCAACCCATGGTACCGGTATTTCATTTCCAACCCCCGCCCCCCACTCCCCCCCGACACCCCCCCCTCCATCTCCCACGCCCTCCCCTCCCTACGCAACATCTACCCGCCCTGCCTCTCCCTCGTGCTGGACCGCCCGTCGGACCCCCTCGACGGCGTGACCTTTCTTGACCTGCGTGTGCGCCCGCACCCGCACTACCCCGCGTACCTGCTAGTGTCGCACTACGACAAGCGGTCCGACTTCCCCTCCCTCGACGTGATCCAGTACCCGCATATCACCAGCGCCTTGATGCGCAAACACCTTTACAACATCATTTACACGGAACACATCCGTATCGCCTCACAGGTGACCGACCGCGATAGCTACGTTCACGCTCTGGCCGCCAAGATCCGCTACATGATACACGAACGCGGGTATGACAGAACGCGCCTATATCGCCAGCACCGGACTGCATGCTTGAAACACGCTGTCCCACACTTTGCGCCCGCCACGCCAGAGGGTGTTCACGACCTCGTTGTCCGCGAAGTCGCGCGCCTTGACGCGGCCCGCGCACCCGCGAACCACGCGTACCCCGTCGACCGCACCCGACACGCGCCGTCGTACCACGCCCCCGCGCTGGCAGCGTGGCTTTCAGCGATCTCCCCGTGAACGATTACGGCTAATACACCCCCTCCCCCCCCAAACCCGACCCCCCCCCGCCCTCCACTCCCCCTCCCTCCCTCCCCCTCCCTTCCCTCCCCCAACCCCCTTCCTGGGGCCGTGCGGGTGTTCCGCGGCCCTGGAGCCCCATGACAACGTCATCGTCATGTTAACGATCACACGCACGAGCTTCCTGGGCACTGCACCCCCACCCCTGACAACCACCACGCGGATCCGCTGCTCAACGTGTGCTTCCAGGAGCGGCCCGAGTAGCGGGTGACGTGAGGGGCTGTCACCTGACATGCGTGATGTCATGCGTGCTGTCTTGCTGGGCAGGGTCGCCGGCCGACGACATCGGGACGCGTGGTGGGGCTTGCCGACGAGTACCCGCACGCCCGCGGGGCTCGTCACTCATCGAAGACTTCACTCGAGCTGCGTGCGCAGGTGATTGGGACCCCGACACTTGTTGCTGCAGCTTGCTCATCCTGCGTGCGGGTACTCCACCACGTCGTTGCTCGGCCACCCCTTTCCTTGGTTATCGTGACCTCCGGTGTGACACGTTTGTCACACTGCATGTTCAATACACACACTACTCAGAGTAGTAATTGACTCACCGGCCGCGAAGCACGCCCTGCGGCGCCTCCACGCTGCGCGGCCACAGGGCTCACATCACTCCGACTTCTTCAGCGCCTTGTCCTTGCGCGCCGCGACGCGCTGCGCGTGGCTCTTGAGGTTGACCATGGGCAGCATCAGGACGAACGCGCACGCGCACGACCCGATCAGCGTCATGAAGTACGCCTCCCAGCCGAACCGCTGCACGATGATCGACAGCGGGACGCCCGCGTTCGCCGCGCCCATGTAGGCGATCCACCCCAGGAGACCCTCCGAGGCGCCGACGGCGCTGGGGCCGACGAGCTCGGCGCCGCACAGGCCGATGAGCATCTGCGGGCCGTACAGGAAGAACCCGATCATGAAGACCGTGGCCCACTGCAGCGCGCCGAGCGCCGCGGGGGTCGCCGCGAACGCCGCGAGCATCGCCGCGATGCCCACCGTGTACCCGAGCATCACGCGCACGCGCTTCCCGACGGCGCCGCCCTTGGTGTCCTTGTTGATCATGTAGTCCGACAGCTTCCCGGCGAGCAGCGACCCGAACAGGCCGCCGAGCTCGAGGCCCGACACGCGGATGGCGGCGCTGGCGGCGTCCTCGACGCCCTTGGCCTTGATGAGGTAGAACACGAACCACGAGGTGACGCCTTGCCGCACGACGTAGATGAAGAAGTACGTGATGGCCATGCCCCAGATGAAGGGGTTCTTCAGCACGCTGTTGACCAAGATCGACATCAGCGTCTCCTCCTTCTTCGCGGCCGCCTCGCCGTCCGCGCCGTCGGCCTTCTTCGGCTTCTCCTCCGCGTTCTCCACCGCCTGGTACCCCTGCTCTTGCGGGTCCCCGCGCACCCCGAGCAGGATGAGCGACCCCACCGTCAGACCGATGATGCCCGGCACCCACATCCCCCACTGCCAGCCCATCGCCTTGGCCGCGCTCCCGGCGATGATCGGCGCCAGGAAGCCGCCGAGGTTGTGCGCGATGTTCCACATCCCCCAGTACGTCCCGCGCTCCTTGGTGGCGAACCAGTTGGTCAGGATGCGCGCGCACGACGGGCCGCCGGTGCCCTGGAGGACGCCGTTGAGGGCCCAGAACGCCATGAACCACGCGAGCGACGTGCCGAAGCCGAAGCAGATGTTGATGAGTGCCGTCGCGCACAGGCCGCCGCCCAGCAGGACGGCGGGCGACAGCTTCGCGCCCAGCACGCCCGCCACGAACTTCGACATGCCGTACGCGATCGGGAAGATGGACGTCATCGCGCCGATCTGCGGGGGCAGCGGTCGGGGCGGCGGCGCGTCAGGCGCGAAGGCAGGGCGTCCACGCGTGCAGCGACTGTCGCTCGCGTGCGACCGAGGCGTGCGGCGGCGCCGCCAGCCAGGAGGCGGCGCGGTGGGGGCGCGCGCGGCGCAGCAGCACGCGGGGCGGGCGCGCTCACCATCGTGATGTCGATGCCCAGCCCCGGCGTGGCGACCATGACGGGCGCGGTGTACGTGAGCGAGTTGCGCGTCAGGTAGAAGCAGGAGTACCCCGCGACGATGGCGAGGAACGTGATGAGCCGCGTGATGATGAACGGCTTGGTGTACTCGCCGGCGTCGTCGCGCGTGCGCTTCTCCGGCTCATCCCCTGTCGAACCGACCAGCGCCGCCGAGGACGCCGGCGCGGGGCCGCGGAGCGGCGCGGCGGGCTCCGGCCGCTGCTGGAGGTGGCGGAGAGCCGGGCGGGGCGCGCGCGTGAGGCCCGGCCGCGGGAGGGGCGCCGCGGAGGGGGCGCACGGCCGCGCGGGGCCGGTGCGTGCACGCAGCATAGGCTCTATGCGCCGTCCGAGAGCGGGGGACGCCTGCATCCTGTCGATGCGCGCTCTGCGGACAGTCAGATCGAGAGGCTCCGGATTCAGGTGCGAGTGCTCGGCGGCGGGCAGCATCGCCGCGGCGCGGGCAGGCGAGGGACTGCCCCGTGGGTTTGCGGGGCGACCGCACGCGGGCGTCGTTCGCGGCTGCCGAGGGGGCCGTCCCCGTGTCTGCTCGCACGAGCTCGCAGCGCTCGGCGCCCGCTCGGCCCAATGGGCGCGCTGTCGCGGGGCGTGCGCGCGGTCACGTTCAACGCGCCCGCCCTTCGCTGCCCCGCAATCACGCGCCCGCGAGGCAACGCGGCCGGGATCGCGCGGCCGAGACGGGCGCTCGCAGCGAGGACGCCGGGGTGGCGCAGCGTCGGGGGCCCGGTGCGCAGCGGGGGCGTGGCGCGGGAGCGCGGTGGGTGCGCGGTCCCCCGTCGCTCCTGGTCGCTGGCCGGCGGGATCAGCCAGCGCGGCAGGTTGCCGAGGTCGCGGCGGATAAGGCGCGCAGGAGGAGCACGTCCGGGAGGGGGCAATGCGGCCTCGGGGTGCGGATCGGACGGCGAAGGCCCGAGAGCCCGGGGCTGGAGTGGAGACTTCCCGCACCTTCTGCTGTTCGCGCAAAGGTCCACCCTCGGTGCGTTCGATTCGATGGACGCGTACTGATGTGTCGCTCCGCGTGCCGAAACCGCGACCCCGGTCGATCTCCGGCGTGCGCTGGGCGCCTAGCAGCTCGATTCGGTTCCGCTCGACGAACGACTCTCTGCTACGGCAACTCGCGCGGGGATGCACAGACGGTATTCCGGCGGGACTCTTGTCGAGCGTCGCGCACTGCCAGGCTACATAGCCGCTGACGCGGACTAGCTGCGACCTCGGGTAAAAGTCGACGCGGGACGGGGTCGACGGGGGACACGTTGCGCTCGGACGCATCGCGCGGGACCCCATTCGCGTCCATGTCGTGCGCTCGGCGTTCCAGCGCTGCTCGACGGTTCTTGGCTCGCGACGACGGGGAGCTGCCAAGCTGGCAGGCACATGGTCCTGGAGGTCGTCCGGGAGGGCCACTTAGCCGCCCTGAGTGATGTCTGGCTGTAACTCGAGTGTCCCTGGGACTCACGATGCGGACCGGTCGTCGGATCACCACCGCCAGCCTGCTCGTTCTCGCGACAGATGCCCTGCTGGTTGGTTGGGGCCCCAGCGCGCTCGTGCTCGTGCGCGCCACGCGCGACTTCGACGGTCCCGCTGGCTTGATGCCCCAGGTCGTCCTGGAGACCGAGGGCGTTATCCTGCACGACACGGACGTCCGCGGTGTCCTCAGATGCAGGTGCTGCCTCGCTGCGGGCACACGCGCCTCCATCGCCGGCGCCGCACTCGCGGGACGTCGCCCTGACGAACACCGAGACATACCGCGCACTTGCGTCGTCACTGGCTGCGCGGTGTTCCCTCCTCGCGCCTTGCACTGCTCCCTCCTCCCCGTCCACCGCACGCAGCGCCGGGTGTCCCCCGGACGCGGGGTTCGACACCGCCGTGGAGGTCGAGTACCGCGGACGCACGAGCCGCATCCTGCCGAAGAGGTCCATGTCGATCGAGACGTTCGCGCACCCGCTCGACGGCGCGCACGACACAAGGCAGGACGTGGTGCGCGCCCGACCCCCCCCCGGACTCCCCCGCACAGGCCTGCCGCCCCCTCGCGGCACCGCACGCGCCGGAGAACGCCGCGCTCGATCCCGTCCTCGTCCGACCGCAGAGCCTGCTCGGGATGCCAGCGCACGACCGGTGGGTGCTGCACGGGCCGTACCTCGACCATACCCTCGTGCGCAACGCGCTCTCCTTCGACCTCGCCGCCGCGACGGGGCAGTGGGCCCCGCGCGCGCGGTTCGTCGAGCTGTTCGTCGCGCAGGGCGCAGCGACGCTCCTGCACCAACCTGCACAGCAAGGGCAGGGCGCCCAGGCCGGGGAGTACATGGGCGTGTACCTGCTCTGCGAGAAGCCCAGCGCGGGCCTCGCGCGGGTGCCGCTCGGTCGCGACGGCGCGCTGCTGGAGGCGCACAACGTGGTGTCTGACAGCAACTGGGAGATGCTGTGCAACGCAACGCCGGGCTGCCGGGACGCGCCGCCGCCGACGGCGGGCTCTGCGCTGTCGTCGCTGCAGAACCTCGCGGGCGCGTTCACGGGCTGGTTTTCGCGCAGCACGCGCGCCTTGCTGGGCAGGCACACCAGGACGGTCGAAATCGGCCCGACGGCGTTCGAGATCAAGTTGCCGAGAGGTCAGGAGGCAGCCGACGCTGCGGCTGTCTGGGTGGACAAGTATCTGCGGGACACAGACGACGCGGTGCTCGCACAGACGGGGAACGAAGGCTGTGGGCTCACACGCGCGGGGTGGTTCGGGGCCCCGGCCGCATCGGGAGGGTGCGCCGAGGAACGCGGCGGGAGGTGGCGCGAGCTCCTCGACAGCGGCTCCCTCGTCGACTACGTCCTCCACGCGGTGCGTTCTTGGACCTCCTGGACGCCGTGCAGCACTGCTTGCATGGGTCTGACTCAGACGCGCCGCGAGGCAGCCGCTCCGTCAGTCACCGGCACGAATCCTGTCGCGCGCACCGGCCCGAGGCGCGTCTGTCGGTGCGAGACGCCGCACCGAAGCTGGCTGCCGTCCCTGGACCTCGCGCAGGAGCTCATTCAAAACGGCGACGCATACATATCCTCCACCTACATGTCGCTCGCCTCGGAGTCCGGCCCGCTGCGCTTTGGGCCCGTCTGGGACGCGAACATCGCGATGGGGAACGACCAGAAGCTGCCCAGCACCGCCGCGGGCCTGTCGGGGCGAGGGTCGGGCCTGCGCTTCGCAGACCCCCCCACGCTGAGCCTGAGCCGGGTCGCGCGGTGGATCCACGCGCTGTATCAGGAACGCGGCTTCCGCGCGGAGCTGCAGCGGCGGTGGCGGGCCCTGCGCGCGGGCGCGTGGAGGGACGAGGCGCTCGTGGCCATGGTCCGGCGACGTGCGGCCGAGATCGGCCCGGACGCCGCGCGGGACAACGCGGAGCGCTGGCCGCCCGCGCAGGTCTGGAGCGGCATCCCGCAGGTCCGCCCGAAGAGCTACGCGGGCTCGTGGGCGCAGGAGGTCGCCTTCCTGGAGAGCTGGCTGCGCAGACGGGCAGCCTGGCTGGACGCGAACCTGTGAAACGCGGATCTGTACCGGAGTCCTCCGCGGCGGACGCGCGCGCGCTCCTCTACAGCGCGGCGCGCGGCGCGGTGAGTTCGCCGACGTAGCGGAACACGTGCGCCCAGATCCCGCGCGCCGGCTTCCTCCACGTGGGCGGCCACGTGCGCTGGACGGACTCCCGCTCGGCCACGTCCGCGGCGTACCGCGCCACGTTCGGCAGGTGCTTGAAGTCCGCCCCCATGTAGGCCATCGTCATGATGAACGGCGCGACCGCGGCGTCGACGAGACTGAACTCCCCGAGGACGAACCGTGTGCCGCGGAGGATCGTGCTGTCCCAGTAGCGCAGCTCCCGCGCGAGGTGCACGGTGTACCGGCGGATGACGTCCTTGCCAGCCTGGGTCGTGACGTCCACGCGCTTGAAGGGCGGCCGCCCGATGTGGGACCCGAACACCGGGAGGATCGCGTCCACCAGCGTGTTCGCCTCCTGCGCGCGCACGCTGCGAGCATGGCGTGAGCGGCGTGCTGCGGAGCCACGCGGGACGACCGAAGCGCACACCCACAAAGTCCGGTGCATCGTGGTGCTGCATGCGCGATGCAGGCACTCCCGATGCACGTCGGCCGCTCCGCACCGCGCATGGGACGCGTCGAGAGCGCCGCGGTGCCGCGGCGCGACGCCCACAGCGCCCACGCACCTGGAGTCGTTGCAGCGCCAGGGCCCGCGCTGGCTTGTCGCCGCCCATGGTCGGGAGCACGGGGGGGTGGTTCGGGTACGCCTCGTCGAGGTACAGCAGGAGGGCGGTGGAGTCGTGCACGACCCGCGTGCCGTCGGCGTCGATGAAGGTCGGTGACTGCCCCCTCGGGTTGACCGAGACCACATTTTGAGACTTCAGCTCCCCTGCAACGCGGTCAGAGACCAGGTCTTGCGATCGGAGCCCGAGGCGTCGTCGGTGCGGTCGCCGTCGAAGGAGGGGCGCGAGCGGTCACTTGCGCACCGTCCTTGAGCGACAGGACCCTCTCCGTGACGGGCAGGCCCTTCTCGTACAGCGCGATGAGGACGCGCCAGGCGAAGAACGATCCTGCGCTCCCCCGCGGCGGCCGCTTGAAGTCAGGTGCGGGCACGGCGTGCAGAGAGACGCGCTGCGCTGAGCGTGCAAGGCGGGGCCCGTCCACGCAGCGCGCAGGGCCGGCGGGGGCGAGATGGCGGGCAGCGCGGACCGAGAGCGTCGCGCTCACGCACCTGATATGTAGTAAATCACCCTGTGTCCGGCCTCATCGCCAGCCATGGTGAGGTCGTTGCTGCTGGGTGTCTGGACAGGTGCGCGAGTGAATCGTGCGGCCGGGGTCGGCTCGCAGCTCGAGACAAGACGGTGCTGGCTCTCTGTCGGATCGGTGGCGCGAGAGTGACGCGCGGCTCCGAGCAACGCGCCGCAGTGAGCGCACGCGGGCGTCCGCTGCGGCCCCGAGCACGGTGCACACCCCTCGGTGGCCGCAGCCGCGCGCGCAGCACTCTTCGGCGCCACGTAGCGGATCCGATCAGGCGGACTCACGCGCCGCGCGACTGCGCCACGCAGGCACGCCCTACCGAGCGGGCCCCCGCCGTCGCACTGGCCGATTTCACCCACGCATGGGCGACACACAGCTGTCAGGGGCGAACGCGGCTCAGCTGCGGCGGGCCCGCGGATGGCGGCTGCGCAGCGCCACCACTGGCCAGTTGCGCGGCGGCCACGGCTGTGGCAGCGTGATACGCCGGGTGTTGTGCGTGGCACTGGGAGGGAAACAGCGGGCGCGTCGTGGTGGCGCACCGTGCCACGGCGAGGATGTTCGGGAACGGGTACGACTCAGACAACAACAACAACAACAACAACGTAGGGCTCAGCCTGGACGACGTGTGCCTGCAGCACCTCTCGCAAGCGCAGCAAATAGAGCCGAATGAGGTGGAGACCTTCCCGGGGGGGGAGTTCGGCGGGAAGTGGTTCAACGACGTCATACACGGACGCTTCTTCCTAGACCAAGTGGCCGTGGCCTTCATCGACACCCCGCAGGTCCGTGCCCACGCTTCGGGAGCCGTTTCCCTGCCCGCCGGAGATTCGCCCAGCCAGCCCCTCCTGCGTGCGCGGCTGGGCGCCCAGCGGCGCGTCGCGGCCGATAACACTCTCGGACTGGAATCCCGCGGCGCCCGAACCGCCGTCTTCGCGCGCGTGCCGAGCACGGGCACGTGCACTGTTGGCTCCTGCCCGCCATTTCCCCGCGCCCGCCACTTCCCGCCGTACGTTGCGCATCCCGATACGCGTACGAGGTTCTACTCGAACTCAGAACGCCGCAGAGGCGCAAGACCTCGCCCCGCCTCGCCCGTGCCGCACCGGAACGCCGCCCGCCACGCTCCCGCGCGTCCCCTGCAGTTCCAGCGGCTGCGCAAGCTCAAGCAGCTCGGGACCGCGAACCTCGTCTTCCCCACCGCCGAGCACTCCCGCTTCAGCCCCTCGATCGGCACGGGGTTCCTGGCCTGGCAGACGGTCAGTCGCCTCAACAGCTTCCACAAAACCACCATCGCGGACAAGTTCGACGTCACGGTGCGCGCCCGCGCCGCCCCAACAGCGCTCAATACGTCCGCCTGCGCGCCGGCGCCGCGCGCCCGGGGTGACACGGCGCCTCCCCGTGCCCTGCGCCGCAGGCGGTGACGCTGGCGGGGCTGTGCCACGACCTCGGCCACGGCCCGTTCAGCCACGTGTTCGACAACGAGTTCCTGCCTCGCGCGCTCCCGCAAGACGCGCTGGACGCCCTGCAGTGGTCCCACGAGCGGATGTCGGGCCTGCTCTTCGACCGCGCGTTCGACCTAGGTGCGCCCGCGGCCTCGCGCGCGCCTCCCGCGAGCGGAACGCTGTCCGCCGCGCAGCACGCACGATGCTGAGACCGCTGGAGAGGCCCGTTGCGTCGGTTCGCTGCGCTGCAGTCAAGGATGAGCTGTCGCCAAACGTCAGCGAGAGCCTCGTGGACGGCGACCAGCGGCGGATCGCGGACATGATCATGGCGAACCGCCCCGAGCCGGGCACGCAGAGCTTCTCCAAGGCCTGGCTGTACGACATCGTGGCGAACAAGCAAACCAGCATCGACGTCGACAAGCTCGACTACATCTCCCGGGACTCGTACTACACAGGCACGCGCCCCAGCCGCCCCCTGCCGCCACACAGGGGGGGCCGGCGTCCTCGTCGCGCACACCGACCCGTCGCGCACGAGACCGAGGCGAGGTTGCTGCCCGCGCCCGCGCCCCGGTGCAGGTGTCAAGCACGACTACGACCACAAGCTCCTGCTGCAGCAGGCGCGCGTCGTCGAGGACGAGGACGGCCCCGAGATCTGTTTCCGGTACTCGGCCGCGCACTCCCTGCACGACCTCTTCATGACGCGGGCCAAGCTGCACCAGACGGTCTACACGCACCCCAAGGCCAAGGCGATGGAGTTCATGATCGTGGACGCGCTGCTCGCCGCCAACAAGGCCCTCGGCATCACGTGCGCGCCCCGCCCCGCCCCGCCCCGCCCCGCCCCGCCCCGCCCGTGCCTCCCGTTCCAGCGGTGCAGGTGTGTGAGCGTGCAGGGCTGGCCGCGTTGCTGCAGGGACCGCGTGCGGGACCCGGACGACTACCTCCACCTGAACGACAGCATCCTGGAGGTGATCGAGAACCCGCTGTTCACGGCGCCGGGCGTCGACGACGACCCCCCGGACGCCGGCCTGCTCGAGGCACAGGACATCCTGCGGCGGCTGCGCGTGCGCGAGATATACAGCTTCGTGGGCGAGGAGCAGATCCCCGCCGCGATGAACGAGGCGCTCGGGAAGGTCACGGCGGAGGAGATCATGGGCCACGTGGACACTGCCTCCGCGGGGATCAAGCTCAAGGAGGTCATCGTGCAGAACCACAAGATCGACTTCGCGCTGCGGCACAAGAACCCGCTCGACAGCGTGTGGTACTACAAGACGTCGTACAGGCGCGTGCGCACCGCGCCGGCGCCTGCGTGTCGATGGCGCGTCATGTGCTGCCGGGCTCATGTGCGCGCGCGCTCGGCTGCTTGCAGGATGGACGCGCATGGGCGGAGGACGGCGGAGAGCAAGCGCTACCACATCCCCCCACGGCGCCTCTCGTCGATGTACGACCCCCCCGTGGTCGATCGGCGCGTGCGCGTGTTCTGCCGCTCCCGCGACCAGGTGCGGCATCCCCGCGCGCGCGCCCCGCTCCTCCCGCTCGCCACGTATCACTGCCGCCCCTGACGGCGACAGCCGCGCCGGTGACGCGTCCGGCGCCCACGCGCTGCTCCACCGCGCTGCCATGCGTCCGCAGCGGAAGGTCAACGCGCTGCGCGAGGGTCTGACGCGCTGGGCGTCGACGGTGCTCCGCGGGCACTACAGTCCGCGCGCGGACAACGGCGGCGCGCGCCCCAGCGACCGGACGGACATGGTGGAGCACCGGACGCCCAAGGACCTGCGGAAGCGCAGGCTGAGCGCCCGGTCCAGCGGGGGGCCCTCGGACCACGAAACCGCGACGAAGCGGTCGCTGCGTGGAGCGCTCGCCGACTAGGACGCGGCGCGGGGCCGCTGGACTCGTGTGCGCGTGATGTGCAGTGCCGCTGTTACCACCGCAACGTCTCGTCGCTTTCTCGAGTGCGGACGCCGGCGCGCTAGTGCGCTCACCCCCGACGCCTGCGGCCGGGGCTCCGTTTCGCTCCGCTGGCAGCGGCGGCCCTCCGTCGCTGCTCCTTCGTCGTATGGGGGATGTGTCAGCCCCGATGTCTGACGTGGCCGACAGGTGGCCGCAACAAGGCACGGCGCGGCCGCGCAGCCCCCGCAATCGTTGCAGCGTGGCCCGTTGTTGCAGCTCCAGTGATGTTGCTGGCCGCGAGGGGTCTTGGCGCCCAACAACGTGAATGATCTCCCTCCGCTCCACGAGTCGCGGCCGACCATCAGTGCGCCCGTTTGCGAGCGCCCTGAACGCGAAATAGAAAGCCCTACTAGTTCGTCGTTCCGAAAGTGCCAGACTGGACCGCGTATCGGCATCCCTCGGTTGCGCACGGGGCTAAAGCGTGGCCTCCCCTCCCTGCGATCCAACGACCGCGCCGTGCTCTCCGCACCCGCGACGGGCTCACGCACCCCGCTCGAGCGAGCACGCGGCTCGATCCTCTCGGAGCCGACGTCTCGCTGGCGTGATGAGCGCGCAAATGAAGAAGAAGCTCGTGATCAAGCTGAATGGTGCGTGCGACGCGCCTAGGCACGCAACGCGGGCGCCCCCGGCCAGGCGCAGCGAGGAGGCTCTGGGCCACTGTCGTCCCTCCGAGCGCCGATGGTCCGCGAGCGGAATCCTCGCTGCTGGCGAGCATCGCCCGCCATGATGAGGACTCCTGCAGCTCGTGCGGGGCTCCCGGCCGATTCCCCCCGTCAGCGTGCCGTTTGCGCGGGCCTCTCTTGATCTATGCGACCATCCATACGTTTCGAATCGCGCCACACAGTGCATCCATCCCGACGGCCACGTACCGGATGCCTCAAGCAGTGGGTTGGTTTCCCGGGAGCGCCGGCGACGCACGGCCAGGCGCCCCATCCACTTGCGTCGCACCGGCGTCTCTGATGCCAGAGGTCGCATGCGGACGCGGTATCATCCGCACCTGGAGCGGCAGGGCCCCCGTTTCGGGGCCATTCCTACCACGGCAGATTCGCGCGCTCCAGGCGCACGCGCAGGGTCCCTCGCTCTCACCGCTCGCCTCGCGATGCCGTGCTGCTGTGCAGTCAAGCCAGCGCTTCCGCCGAACTTCGAGGAGCAGACTTGGCTGAAGCTCAGGGAGGCTGTGCAGGCTGTGTTCCGGTCCCTCCCGACCCCCGCGTCGCTCGAGGAGCTCTACCGGGCCGTAGAGGATCTGGTCGTCCAGAAGTGGTCGCCGCAGCTCTACCAGCGACTCAAGGTGCGAGGCCGAACGCTGCCCACCTCTCCGCGTGTGCCTGCGGCACTTGCGCGGTCGCGGGGGCGTCGGACGCCGCCAGCACGCCGTCGCCGCGCGCTCCCTGGGCCTGCCGAAGCACGTGCCACACCCGCGCGGCACCGCGACCGTATGTGTGTGTTCGTTCGCGCAGGACGAGTGCGACGCGCATGTGGCAACGCAGCTGTCCGGGCTCGATGCCAAGGTCGGCGAGGACGCGACGGAGCTCATCCAGTCGATAGACGTGTGCTGGCAGTCCTTCTGCGCCCATCTCTCCCTCGTGCGGTGCGATCCAACACACAAACCCGCACAACGACAAAAGCAACAGCAAAAGCAAACAACACACCCCCCCTTGCCACGGCGCCCACCGCCGCGACGCCCGCCTCGCTCCCCGCAGAGCCATCTTCCTCTCGCTCGATCGCGGCTGGGTGCTGGAGCACGGGGGCGAGAACGGCGCCCCGGGGGGCCTGTTTGAGATGGGCGTGGGGCTCTTCCGGCAGGGCGTGGACGCGCGGCCCGCGCTCAAGCAGGCGGTCCTGCAGCGCCTCCTCGGCATGATTGCCGCGGAGCGCGCGGGCGAGGCGGTCCCGCGGCCGCTCCTGCGGTCCCTGCTGGGCATGCTGTCACAGCTGGGGTTGTACGCGGTTGAGTTCCAGCCGCGGCTGCTGGAGGAGACGCGCGTGCACTACACCGCGGCGGCGCAGCGGAGCATTGACGAGGAGGGCGCGGCCGGGTACTTGGCCACGTGCGAGCGGTGGCTGCGGGAGGAGGGTGACAGGGTGGCCAGCTACCTGGACGCGGCGAGCATGCGACCGCTGACGCGCACGCTCGACGAGGTGCTGCTGCAGGCGCACGTCGAGCGCATCGTCGGCGGCCTGGCGACCATGATGGGTGCGTGCCCCCCCGGAACGCGCCTCCTACGGTGCGCTGTGCGTGCTGCGCTGTTGCTCACGTGTCCCGCGAACGCACTGCCGCCTGGCCGCAGACAACGAGAAGAACGAGGACGTCGCGCGCGCATACACGCTCCTCGGGCGCGTGAGCGCGCACGACGCGCTGCGCACGGCGTGGACGGCGTACATCACGGCTGCCACCTCGGCCATCGTGTCCGACGCGTCCCGCGACGCCGAGATGGTCCAGCGCCTCCTGGACCTCCGCAAGCGCCTGAGCGGCACGGTGGCGGCCGCGCTCGGCGGCGACGAGTCCTTCGTGCGCGCGACCCGCGCGGCGATGGAGGCGGCCATCAACCGGCGGCAGAACCGCCCCGCGGAGATGGTCGCGAAGTACCTCGACGGGCTCCTGCGCAGCGGCGCGAAGGGCGCGGGCTCCGAGGAGCGCGTCGAGGAGGAGCTGCACGGCGCGCTGGCCCTGTTCCGGCTCATCCAGGGCAAGGACGTCTTTGAGGCGTTCTACAAGCGGGACCTGGCGCGGCGGCTGCTGCTGGGGCGGTCGGCGTCGCAGGACGCGGAGCTGCGGATGCTGGGGCTGCTGCGGGAGGAGTGCGGGGCGCAGTTCACGTCGAAGCTCGAGGGGATGTTCAAGGACATTGAGGTGTCGCGCGACCTGATGGCGGCGGTGCGCGGGGCGCCGGAGTTCCAGGGCGCGGCGCCGAGCGGGCTGGACATGTCGGTGTCGGTGCTCACGTCGGGGTTCTGGCCGTCGTACCCCGTCGTGGACGCGGTGCTGCCCGGCGCGCTGCAGCAGGGGCAGGAGGCCTTCCGGCAGGTGTACCTGGCGAAGCACAACGGGCGGAACCTGACGTGGCACAACACGCTCGGGTCGTGCATCATCAAGGCCAAGTTCCCCAAGGCGGGCACGAAGGAGCTGCAGGTGTCGCTCATGCAGTGCACCGTGCTGATGCTGTTCAACGACGCCGACGAGCTGTCGTACGGGCAGATCAAGGCCGGGACGGGGATCGAGGAGAAGGAGCTCAAGCGGACGCTGCAGTCGCTCGCGTGCGGGCAGGTCCGCGTCCTGAGCAAGGAGCCCAAGGGCAAGGACGTGGGCGACGCCGACGTGTTCCGGTACAACGAGAAGTTCGAACACAAGATGTTCCGCATCAAGATCAACTCGATCCAGGCCAAGGAGACGCCCGAAGAGAACCAAAAGACCAACGAACAGGTCCTCGCGGACCGCGTGTACGCCATCGACGCCGCCATCGTGCGCGTCATGAAGGTGCGCCGAACGCACAGCCCCCGCCCCCGCGCACAGCACGACGATCCTCGCGCAGCCCTCGGCCGCGCCGTGCTCACGCGCCCCCCGCTCGCTGCCCCCCTCCGCCCCCGCAGGCCCGCAAGCAGCTCAGCCACAAGCTGCTCATCGGGGAGCTGCTGCAGCAGCTGCGGTTCCACGTGCAGCCGAGCGACCTCAAGCGACGCATCGAGAGCCTCATCGAGCGCGAGTACCTCGAGCGCGCCGAGGGGGAGACCAACATGTACCTGTACCGCGCGTAGGGGGGGTGTTGCTGGGGGTGTGAGGCACCTGTGGAGTCTTCCGGCCGGAAGGGAGCGCCCTGGCCCTGCCGCGTCGAAGTGTCGAGGTCGTGGAGTGTGCGGGGCGTCGGGGGTCGTCGTCTCGGCCGTTCTGTGTGCCAGAGCATGATGCTGTCGTTGGTCGGTCGATGATGTTCGGCGCGGTGCAGCGCTGCAAGGCATCACGCGGCGCTTTCGGCTCGCACCTTCTTCGCGGGCGTCGCCGAGGGCGAGCTTGTCCGCGGGGGGGTGGGACGCTGCCAGCTCAGTGGGAGGTCTCAGCCCGCTCCGAAGCGGGCTCGAGGCCAGGCAGGGCTGGATGTTGTCGACTGTGCAGTCATGTATGAGCTGCTGGCCTGAATATATCTGAGAAGGTGCACTGACGGAGGATTGGCGGCGGGAGGCAACCTGCTCCCAGGTAGGCTTCGGCTGCAGCCCTGTCGTCTACTTCCGAGCGATTTCTGCAATCCCATGTCTGCACCAAGCTATTGTGATGCCATCGCGTGGTCGTTCGCATCCTGAATATCGGTGAACGACGCGCATTGCGCCAAGTCGCTGACCGGCGGGTCGCCAGCGAATGTGACCCTGGGTGCGCCGTCAGTGCGCCACTGCCCACGCCTACCTGCTGGCTCGCAACATCGCGTACACTGTCGCCGGTTGAGCCGTGCAGGTCCTGGCGGGCGGTCGGGTACCCAGCGATGCCGCTGCTGCTGGTGTTGCCAGTGGTGGGCCTGGCCGCAGCTGCGGTGTGGCGGAGGCGGCAGCGGAACGACATCTCTTCGACCACTTACTGGTTTGAGGGCGTCGAATACGACTTGTCGAGTGCCAGCACGAACACCATCGACGACGATCCGGACCTGTTCACCTCACCTCCCGCCATGGCATGCCGGGCGCCCGACGGCCCCTCGGCGCTCCCGTACTCCAACATCGTCGACAACACAGAGGGCATCGGCGCCTTCCACGACATCGACTTCCCGCCCGGCTGCCGCCTCGTCGCCGACTTCGGCGGCGGGTCCTCGGACAGCGCGCGGCGCTACATGGAGCGCAGGTACCCCGGCCTGCGCCTGCTCGTCCTGGACCCCTTCAACCGGCCACGGCAGCACAACGAGGCGGCGCAGGAGGCGATCGTCGCGGCGGGCGGCGTTGACTGCGCGACGTGCATGTCCGTGTTGAACGTGGTGCCCTACCGCAGGGAGCGCCTCCGGCTGCTGCGCGTGATGCGGTCCGCGATGCGACCGGGCGCGCTGGCGTACTTCAAGGTGTGGGCGGGGGCGTGGCCGGTGCGGGGCACGGGCGTGGCCACCACGGACCGCGAGCGCAAGGCGTACCAGGCCAACCGGTGGGCGAGCGGGTTCCTGGACGAGGTCCGGGGGGTGTTCGAGGAGGCGTACGCGGACAACAACCTCAACCTCATCGTCGCCCGCAAGGCGCTCTGACCGCCGAGCTCGCCCGCGCGGCGCCAACCGAGGCCCAGCGGCGAGCATTCTGGCGGCGGCACCGGCGCGGCGCCGGCGACGCGAGGACTGGCCGTGCCGCGTGCGCCGCCGCAGCGAACGGAGCGCCGCGCTGCGCACTCGAGCAACGTATATTTGTGATTCGGCATGCTTTGTGATTCAATCCATGAAATGATCCACCAGTGTGCCGCGCCCGAACCGCGTCACGCGGGCTGCAGGCACCCACTGCGTGTCGTACCTGCCCGCGTCGCAACGGAGGCCCCTGATCATGGTGCCGCGGCTGCGGCGTCGGTCCAAGCTCGCTCCCCGCGTGCCCTCGGGAGATCGGTGTCCGTCGCGACGTCCGAGCAGGTCGCGGTTGCTCGACGAAGCCAGCGAAATGGTGAGCAAGGTGGATCCAACGCGCTCGCTGCACGGAGCACTCGCTCCGGGGGCCTGGCGCGCTGGACAGTCGCGAGAGGTCACAGGGCCCACGGGGGGTCGCGTCCCGCTCGTCTATGCCCACGGGTGTCGTTGCCCTCACACCCACCTGCTCTCCAAAGTTATCGAGACAATTTCACGCGACTAAAACCCCAAAATCTTCATCACATCTCGGCGGCGAGCGAAGTCAACCATCACCAGCAGCTACTCCGCGGAAGCGCCCCTGCCTGCGCGTTTCTGGTACTCTTCTCGTGCTCAGATCATGAACTGTTAGCCAACGACCTCGAGATAGCGCTGGCGGCATCGCAGCAGGCGTTCGCAGCCGGCACCGCGTGGGGGGAAGCGCAGGCTTGGCCATGGCTGCCCCGAAAGGGAAACTGAGGCTGGAGGTTCGCTCGGTGTACATACCTTACATCCACTCGATTGAGACGGACAAGCTGCAGTCCGAGCTGCGAGTCGACTACGATTTCTTGTGGAAAGCATCCGAGGAAGAGCTCGAGCGTTTCCGTGAGAACCCGTTGGAGTACAAGCCCGACTTCACGCCCAGCGTCGTCCTCCAGAATGGCTGGGAGCTCACCGTGGAGAACGTCAAGTTCGCCAACGGCAACGAGTACGAAATCGAGCCCAACGGGAAGAACAAGATGCGCATCAAGGTGTACGGGACCTTCATCCAGAACTTCGACCTCAGGGAGTTCCCGTTCGACGAGCAGGTGCTCGAGATCAACCTGACGCTGGCCTTCATGAGCGCCGACGATATCTTCTTCTCAGAGGAGGAGGGCAACACCGGCAACACCACATGCGTCCTCACCGACTTCACGAGCCTCCCAGACTGGCACCTGGTCCGCGCGGGAACGCATCCGTACGTCAAGGACAACTTCTGGTACCTCAAAACAAGCATTTACGTCAGGTCCGGGCAGCTGTCCACACACACACACACTTTCCCGCATTGGCCGCATCTCTCAGGCGTGAACCGGTCCGCGCGTCACACGCTTGAGCACCCCGTGCCCGGCCCACCACAGGCGTCGCGCGCGAGGATTCGTCGTCCGCAGCCTGCTCCCCACTGGCCTGATCACGTGTTCGTCGCTGACGTACTATGCCACGGACCCGTCCGCCGCCGACGTGCGGCTCAGCGTCCTCGGCACGGTGCTCCTGACGCTCGCGGCGCTGCAGTTTGCCATGACGACGTACCTGCCGATGACGCCGGACCTCACGTTCGCGGACGAGTACATCACAGCGTCCTTCGTGGTGACGTTCGGCGTCCTGGTGATCACGTCGCTGGTCGCGAAGTTCGACACCGAGGGCTACATCGGGAACATCGAGGAAGTCGACGACATGTCGTTCGTCGGCGTCACAGCCGTCATGATCATCCTGCAGGTCTACTACATCTGCAGGGGCTACTACTTGTACCGGCAGGACCTGGACACGCGGAAGCGCGACGAAGACGGCGACATCTCGCGCTTCTCCGGCCAGAACGAGGACGTCACGTCGAAGGGCTTCGTCGACATTCTGGCGAAGCCGGGCGCCAGGAAGCCGTGGTTTGCGCACAGCCAACGCCATCTCGCGACGCAGACGACGAAGCGCAGGCGGTCCGCGGCCGCAGCGGTGCAGCCGCTGCCGCAAGTCGTGCGAGGCGCGCAGTAGAGCGCAGGGGCTTTTTCTCCAGAAATCAGCGGCGGTAGACCTGCGGACGTCTCTCGCGTCTTTTGCTGGCACACGCGCCGCTGCAAGGGACTCCGGGACCAGCGCAGCACAGCGGACGCACGGCCCGCGCACGGCAGAGCTGCCTCCCGAGGCTCCGACGCCAGCGCCCGCGCCCTTGTGTGAAGCAACAACAACGATCACACGATTGCGCCTTCTAGCTAGCTATGCGTCATGCCACGGGCACACAGGGCTCCGCGAAGCATCATGCTGCCTCAGTGCACGGCCCGCTGCCCGTCGAGCTGCCCGTCGAGGGCCACGCGCGCACTGCTGCTGGGTCAGCGCACGTTGTCAGAGGGGATGCCAACAGCCCCCCCCGTTCGCCCGCCTCGACCGCCGCCGATCACGCCCCGCGGTACCCGCGGCTCTCGACCTTGCGCTGCCCGCGCGGCGCCTGCCCTATCGCCCCCAGCGAGGGCAGCGCCCGCCCAGCGGACTGCATCCGCAGCTGCAGCTCCGCCTCGAGCTGGTCGGCGGCGTCGCGCGCCGAGGGCACCGCCGCCGCCAGGAACCGCGCGACCACCTTGGCGCCGCGCAGCTGCGGCCCGCCGTGCCCGCAGTTGCACCGGTGCGCCCAGCAGCGGTCCACGTCGATGCCCTCGGCGTCCGCCCACGCCGCGAGCTGCTCGTCCGACGGCACCGCGATCCCCAGCTGCGCCAGCACGTCGGCGTGATCCATGGCCCGCCGCAGACACAGCACGATTTCCGAGTCCCCCACCGACACCATGTTGGCCATGCCGACCACGCGCGTCTGGTCCGCGAGCACGCGCAGGAGCGCGCGGACCTGCGAGCGCCGGCCGTGGTACGCGTTGCGCGGCGCGGCCTCGCCGTCGGAGGCCGGCGCGACGCCCTCGCTGGCCGTGTCGCCCGAGCCCGGGTGCGCGGGTCCGGGCTGCGGCGCCCCCGCGGTCGGCACGTCCGGGGTGGCGGGCTGCGTGGTGACCGCGTTGCCGGGCGGGAAGACGGCGTGGTGCGCGTGCGCCTCCGGGACCTCCCACCCGTCGAGCGAGTAGGCGTGGGGCGGTTCGGCGCACTTGTGCTGCGTGGCGTACGCGGGCGTCGCGTCTGCCCCCCCCTGCTGCATCTGCCGCTGCTCGTGGTACTGCCAGAGCCCCTGGAGCGCCTCGAGGTTCTCTCGTCGCTGCCGCTCGGCGTGCTGCTGCTCCTGCAACGACCGCTCCACGCCAGCCTGGTCGCTCGCGCGAGCCTTCTGCGCGTGCGCCGACTGGAGCCAGGAAAGCAGCGACTGCCTCTCCATGGCCTCGCCCGTCTGCAGCGCCCCAGCGGCGCCCGCGGCTGCCCCCATGGCCCCAGACCCACTGCTGTTGGCGCGCGCCTGCATCTCGTCGCATCTTTTGGCCAGGGCCGCGATCAGCTCGCCCTGTAACGCCACGTCTGCCTTCAGCTTCGCGTTCTCGCGCTCCAGTTCCAAGCAGCGGTTGTAAAGCGCCGAGCGGTCAGCCCGCAGCGGGATCGCGGCAAGCGCCGCGCTCAGAGAAGGCCCGGACGCGGGCTGGCCCCACGACGCGACGCCGTTCTGGACCGTGCCGCCGTTGGCCTGCAAGTGGAGCCCAGCATCGCCACGCCCCGGCAGACCCGTGACCGCGTTCTGCAACAAAGCGGGCGTGCCGGTGCGTCGGCTCGGGCGCGTCTCCGGGGGCGCAACGCCGTCGAGCAGCTCGTGGTGCGACGCGTGTGCGGCGCGCGCGGAACCGGGAGGAATTCCGGGCCCCACGGCGCCGCATCAGCACCCGCAAGCAATTCAACTGGACCGCCCCACGAGGGCGCACGGCGCCCTATCACGCACCTGCTGGCCACGCGCCGCCACGGGCTGCGCTTGCTGGTGACTGTAGTACGCCATGCCGTCGCGGTCACGCCGGTCGCGCGCTGCTCACGCGCGTCGGGCCCCCAAATCTCCCCGGAAGCCTCTAGCGCAAGACCTGCGCGCCGCCTGTCGCGCTGCGCGCCGCGGCCGCAGCCCCGTGCCCTGGATCGACCTTCCAGGGATTCCGGGGCGGACGGTCCGGCCCCAGGGGCCGCCAGATTGCGACCACGCCCGCCTCTCTCTCTCGAGCCACAAGGCCCGCGGGTGCACGCGTGGCCTGTCCGACAACGTCAAGGTGCGCCAACCAAACAGCTCAAAACTGCTCCACCCGTCAATCCGCGCACGCCCAAGGCGCCGCACGCCCCCCCTGGCCGCTACCCCTCCCCCCATACACACCACCTCACTTGCCCTAGTGGGCCCCCTAGGGCCTTGGGGCACCGCGGCCCACTGCGCCCGCCTGCGCCGCGCCCCGCGGCCGCACCTCCCGCGGCGCAGCTGTGCCGCCGCGCGACCTCGCCACCCGTCCCGACGCCACCCGTCATTTGAGACCAGACGGCATGTTGTTGTTGTTTGTCGGCACCGTCGACACGGAGATGAAAAGTCGCACTGTGCGAGCCGGCAGGACCGCCGGGCGGCTCGCGTGGGGCGCCGTGGTCGTCGCGAAGAGCCCTGCGGTGCGCGTGAGACCCCCCGGGCACGTCTGTTTGGGTCCTGACATCCATCCAGTGGCGCGCGTGGGTGCGGAACAGCGTTCGCGGCCGCGATGCCGCTGCGCGACCATCGCGCGCGGGGTGCCTGCGGCGGGGCGCGTGCGTGGACTCCCGACGGTCTCGAGCGGGCCGTGGTCGGACTGCGCTGGTGCAGTCTGGCAGAGGTTGGCGCGGGGCTGACAGGCGCTGCGGACGGCCGAGCGCTGGCGGGCTGATTGCGTGTCGTCGGGATGTGGGCGACGAGAACGTCGCGCTGGTGCTGTCGCGACGGGCGCTCTGTATGCGGGCCCGAAGCGCCCTGCCTTCGCTGAGCCTACCTGGCTTGATCGTCGCTAGCTTGTTGGTTTTGACGGGCGTATTCTTCTACCTACAGCACAATATCGGCACAAAGATCACCCTGGTTGAAGAATCTGTCCGAGCGGGCCCGCGGGACATGGCCAGCGCCCCTCAGCCAGGCCCTCTATCATCATCCGTGAACCCCACAGCGGCTCCCACGACGCGGGCTGCGCGCAGCGCGATGAAGGGAGCGGCAATCCGCGCCCTGAAGCCCCTGAGCTTCCCGTTCCAGACCCAGGCACGTTCCCCGACGTGCATTCCCTGGCCCTCTTCCAGGTCTGACGGGGTCCTCCCGCGATGCGCTGGCAAACGCATCCGGCCTGCGATCGAATGCGCCGCAGTCGCCCTTCCTGTTCGCGGTGTACCACCTCGATGCGTACCCCGAGGGAATGAAGGACCCTGACGGCACGCCCAACATGCGCGTCAACCGCCCGCTGCACAACCACAACATCGGCGCGGACTTCCACCACCCGGACGGGTGGAGCATGTACCACGGCATGTCGGGGATTCCCGGCTTCCCGCAGGCAAGCAGGCCGCGCATGCACCTACGCGCGCCGTGCACACCAACCCCATCCGTCGCACCCTTTCTGCACGCCCGCCGCTCCCCCGCACGGCGTGAGTATGAATGTGCCCGGCCCCCTCGCAGCATCCGCACCGGGGGTTCGAGACGGTGACGGTGTGTCGCACGGGCCTGGTGGACCACCACGACTCCTTGGGGTGCGCGGGGCGCTTCGGGAACGGCGACGCGCAGTGGATGACGGCGGGACGCGGGGTGTCGCACAGCGAGATGTTCCCCTGCGTCAACACGGACGCCCCGAACCCCCTCGGTGCGCACTCCGCGATGCACGCACGATGTCTCAGCGCCTCGCAGGACGTGCCTCTCACCGCGCCCCGCGCCCCTCGCGCCGCAGATCTGTTCCAGATCTGGCTGCTCCTCCCCGCGGCGAAGCGCATGGTGGAGCCGTACTTCACGATGCTGTGGGGGGAGAAGCTCCCCAAGGTGGAGGGGGGGGGAGTCAAGGTGGCGGCGATCGCGGACGGGGCGCGCATGCTCGGCGAGGACGCCGCGCCGCCGCCGCCGCCCCCGGACTCCTGGGCGCACGACCCCGCCAACGAGGTCGCCATCCTCACCATCACGCTCCAGCCCGGCAGCTCCTGGACGATCCCGCCAGCCTCCAAGGTGCGCGCACGCGAGCTCCCGCGCGACGCGTTTGCAAGCCACGCGGCCGGACCCCTCCTAGATCGCGGACGGCGGTGCGGTCGCGTCACGTTGCAGGGCGTGAACCGCAGTTTGTTTTTCTTCAAGGGCGACAAGGTTGACGTGGACGGGAAGCAGCTGGACGCCCACGCGAACCTGCACCTGGACCCGGCCGCGGAGTGCGCGGTCAGCAACAGCGGCTCGGCGCTCGCGGAGCTGCTCCTGCTCCAGGGCAAGCCCGTGACCGACCCCACCGTGCAGCGCGGGCCCTTCGGTAAGCGACGAGCCGGCCGCATGCCAACCACCAATGACACACTGCGGCGCTGAGCTACGTGCGAGACGGACGCGTTGCGAGACGTGTTAGTTGCGATTCCGCGTTTGCAGTGATGGGCAGTGACGCGGAGATTCAACAGGCGTTCATGGACTACCGCATGGGCAAGTTCGGCGCGTGGCCGTGGCCCACGGACGACCCGGTGGCGCCCGCGAACGAGACGCGCTTCGCGAGGTACGCGGACGGGCGCGTCGAGCGGCCGTAGGCTTGTGCGCGTGTGATGCGATGGGTGTAGCGCGGGAGATGCGACGCGGCTTCGAAACGCCGCAGGAGCTGCGACGGCGGGTGCGGGTGCGGCCGCCCGCACCGAGTGTTGGCGGAGAAACGCTTGTCAGACGCACGGCAGGCCCCCTCCTAATGGGGGTGTAAATGAGCTCGTGGTTGCGTGCGGGGCCTTGGGCTGTGGCGGGGACGCTTCTCGTGCACAGTTCCATGCGGTCGATTGCAGCGACGGAACGGATTGCGCACCAGCCGCCCCGCATTGTCCGTGGCGAAGTGCCAGGTGCTTGGGGTGGGCGTCTGCGGGAGACGACACGACCGCGCAAGTTCTCACGATAGCTGTGCGCATGATGCTGAAATCAAGCGTCTGTGCGCGATAAGCTGGGCGAACAAGGGCTGAAACGGCGCCTGCAGTCCAACGAGGAGGGGAGGGGACAGCAACGGCGCATGGGCGCGACTCCGCTGGGGCTGGTTGTCCAGGATTGCGTGGCGCGCTGGTTTCGGGAGTATCTAGAGGTGCGTCTTGGGCCACGGAGAGCCTGCGCGCCCCACACGTCTGTCGTGCGCGGTGCTGAACTCTGCACGCCGCACGCCGGTGCAGAGCGCGCTGATGGGGGAGTGGGAGGCGATGATGATGGTCAGCCAGATGTTTAGGACGGGGTACGGCACCAAGGTAGACGTCGAGGCAGCGGACATCTGGCGGGAACGGGGCGTGCAGGCTGCAAAGAAGAAGTCCATCAAGGTCCCCGACAACATGTGGCGATAGCGAGCAACGCCGGTCGCAGCCCTCTGCAGGGACGCAAGCGATCCCCCCCTCGCGTCGCTGACGCGGTTGTCCTCCACGACCGCGTCGCACGTGACTACAGTAGCATTTGAGAACCCGGCGCAGTCCGCCACGTCGTCACAGGGCCCGTGTCACAGCACGCTAGCACGGCGCGTTTTCGAGCCGCTACAGGCCCACGTGCCTGCGGGGCGTCCGCGCCGGCGTGGCCTTGGCCCCGGCCGGGCGCATCCCCGGCGTGACAATGGCGCCCCGCTCCGCGTCGCGCTTCTCGCTGCGCTTGGCCTCCTCGTCCTCCCTGCGCTTCCTCCGGATCTCCTCCACCTGCGCCATCTGCGACTCCATCTCCTTCTTGTGCTCCGACTGCTGCCTGCGGGCCTCGGCGCGCGTGGTGCCCGCCATCTTGATGGAGAAGAACATCGGCCCGAGCTCCGCGAGCCACTCGGGCTCCACCGCGCTCACGCACTGCATGTACCTGCGGCGGCCGAGGAGCGCGAACGACCGGTGAGCGCTCGCCACATACGGTGTTGCACTGCGTCAGGGGGGGCGGCGTGCTCTTCGTGGCGGTGCGGGGGCGGCGCGCGCACTCTTTGCTGGTGAAGACGAGCTCGTGGTACACGACGTAGTCCGGGGTGTATCCGAGGCCGTAGAGCGCCGACGAGGGGTGCAGGTGGCACGGCATCCCCGTGCGCGCGTTGCTGTACTCCCCGATGCCCTTGAGCTTGCCGGCGTTGTGGAAGTACGCCGCGCAGATCGCCTTGCGGATGATGTCCTGCGGGCACGTCGCGGGGCGCCGCGCGTCGGCACGCGCCCACCACGGCAACGTCCTGCCGCATGGCACAAGGGGCCTCAGTGGGTCGGGCACGCACCCAGTTGCCGCCGCACGTCGTCAGCGGCAGCTTCTGCTGCTTCATGAGGTCGGCCAGCTGCTGCCGCACCTCCTTGGCCTTCTTCAGCCCCTTGGCTTGCAAGAAGTGCTGGTTGCACCTGCACGCGCGACACCCAGCCGCCAGACACGTTTCGACCCACGCGGCGCGCACGGGCATGCAGCGGCACGTCGGGCGCGGCGGACGCGCGCGCTCACCAGTCGGAGCGGTACCCGTTGGCCTTCCACTGCTGGTACACGTTGAGCATGGTGAGGTGGTCCGACTCGGGGACGAAGAACTTCTCGCGCGCGGCGTCGCTCTCCTCCGCGCGGTCGGGCGGCCGGAACCACACGGGCGGCACGCTGAGCATGCTCACGATGGTCAGCACCTCGTT